TGGCTCTAGCCCTTCATTCTCCTACACAGCAATTCTATTTCCAGACTGGGTGTGACTAATTAAGCACCACTGTTTTTCTCTGCCCCTTTCCCTCTCCACTGAAGTGTACCAGTTTTGGCTCTATTTTAAGCCTTTCTGAAATAAGAACATCTCTTGTGCTTAAAAATTTGATAGGACAACAGCCAATTAGACAATTGCTTAACTTCTGAAATGGGGCTATGACATCTCTCCACTCATGGAAGGATGGCGCCATTTCCGCATGCAGGCCTGAAGAAGCCGCTTGTGCCAGGCCGAGAGAGTCAGGACAACCTGGGAAGGGAGAATGACACGATCTAGGTTTGGATGTCAACTCCTGACAGCCTCGGCTGCATGGTCAATGAGCAGGAACCCTAGCCACTCAAGTTTATATGCCCATTTTTTTTTCAAAAGCAAAATAAGAAAATCAAATCTGGCTAATGTACAACTTAAACCTTGCTGTCCTCTGACTGCTTTTCCATAGTCGACAGAAGCCAAGCTGAATTTGAGATGTTTTTCAACACATCCCACCTCAAATATTCAGGGTTTGGAAAGAGATGAGGCAATTCCCTAAATGTGAGAGGGCGGCCAAATGCAAAAGTGGGGTTTTGGGGCCTTCAACAATTGTGTAGAAAAGGCAATTTCTTGTACCCCTGCCCAGATTCTCTCTGACACAACAGTTAAAGGTGTAGCAGCCCTGTCCTCTTTGACCTCTGGCTTTCCTAATCAGTGTCCAGCTATCAGGTCAAAACAGGTGAATTAAAGTGCCATGGAGTATTCATGTCCTGGCATGATTTGTTTTCAGGACTTTTAATGGTGCCTCAAAATACAGTGTAGGCCTGCTAGAGCATCTCCTGGCAGCCCCAGTGGACATGTTAGGCAATGCCTCAGATGTCCTCCTGTCCTAGCTCTGGCTTTATCCATCTTTTCCATCTTGATTTGCTTTTTAAAAAAATATCAAAATTGTTACATGTGCATATCCAACCACTTCACCTCTCAGAGCAGTCTCTTCTCAACTTTTTAGTTTCTCCAGTTCTCAGGGTTTACACACCCCTGTGCATTTAATGGTATTTCAGTGAAGCCTTCTGAAAGGCCCATCCAGCACCCATTTTTAAAAAGCACAAAATCTGCCCCTTTCTTGCCACTAAATGGAAAAAAAGAGCTACATTGCTACAAATACAGAAAGCTCATGGCGTACTGAATTCAGGGCCGAGGCACGTAAGGCTCCCAGACTGCCTGGAAACATTCTGTGCTGAGCCCGCAATGAAACAATACATGAAAGGACGCGTTTCTAAGAATGTTTAATGGGGCAGACTTCCATCCTGTTGACACAGTCCAAGTCAGAAGGCTGGAGAACTGCAGGACTGGAGAAGGTGCCTCTTGGGATGGTCTAATAGCAATGGGGGTTTCCTCTGGGTCTCTTGAGCAAGGTTTGGATGCGATTCATCAGGGCTGGTGGGCAGTGGCAGACCTCCCCTGCCTGCATCCCTGGCCAGGATTGTACTCACATCTTTCTTTGGCATGCCCTGGACACTTCCATCCAGCCATCGCTCAGCCTGAGCTTTATGAGCTCAAGAAACGCACAGTAGCCTTCGAGCTGTTCTTGGAGCATCAGTCCAGTGGATGGAATGGTTGGCCTTTGATGATGATACATTTCCGGATGATAAAATGATGATGATTTCATTTCAGTCTTGCTCAATAGTCAAAGTTCTCTGGGAGGTTCACAACCATGTATACAAAAATTACAAATAAAACCCCAAAATAAAATAGAATCTGCAATATAAACAATTTGAAACAGGGTTTAAAACAATCTGAGCAGCTAAAAACAAATTCAGTGCTACTACACTAACATAACCCCCCCCCCCCGCTGCCCATTTTCCATTAAATGCCTTAGAGAAAAAAGTTAGTCTTAACTTGGCACTGAAATGATAATAAGGTTGGTGCCAGGTGGGCCTCACTGAAGCGATCATTTCATAATCTGGGGTCCACCACTAAGAAAGCCTTTTCCTTTGTTGGCATCCTCCGAACCTCCTTTGGAAGTGGCACTTGGGGGAAGTCCTCTGATCTTGGTTACTTACCCTGGGCAGATTCACATCTCAGGACAGGAGAGATGTCCCTCTGTTTGGCCCCACATCCTCCCTCCCAGGCACAGACTCAGGTCTAGGAGGGGACAAATCCCCTGTCAAAGTCTCTAACTGGGCAAGGTATTAGATGGAGTCTCCTGAACCCCCTGAAGAAGCTCCCCAGAAAGGGACAGCTCCCTTTGACATCTCCCTGTTTAGCACTGACACTGCTGGGGTGCCATCAACTTGTTCTGGATCCTTCCAGAGACAGACTGGCTCAAGTGGGCATTCGTCTTCCGCCCAGTGCAACTCGCTTTCCCTTGCACCGCTCTTCACCTGTAAATTGAAGAGCTCTCTGCCTCAGGGATTCTGGGGAGGCCAACCTGATGAATCTAGGAGGGGGCAGCAGCATTCGTCTGTGGTGCGCCTCACAGCTGAGGGCAAATATGGTGGCTCAGGGAGGGCATCCAGGTGCAAAGTGAACTCTGGCTCTCGCTGCTCAAACGGGTGTCAACAGGCGCCTGGAGGTGTGTCACCTTTTGCCTCAGGCTGCTGATTGGCTGGCTTGTTTGGGCATGGCGTTTGCTGCAAATGGTGATCTGCAGCAGCCTTGCCAGGAAGCACCTTTTGTGCTCAGAGGTCTAGTGGAAGCAGATCCGCAGCCGGGAAGCAGCACGCAACATTTTATGAATGGCAAGTGCAAGGTCAGTGCTGGCTACTGGTCAGAGCCCTTCCAGATGTGACCTGACGGGCAGCACATGGAAGTGTTGCTCCACTGCAATGGGGACCGTTGTTTGTCCTCCGACAAAAGTGCAGTTGTGCCTTTCCGCTATTAAGCTGACAATAAAACCGGTGCACCTGCAAGACCCACGGATTCTTTGCTTGTTGTTCAGCCTTGTTGCAGGAAACTGGGGTTGGGAACGATACTTGATAAGCTCTGGCTTGAAGAAAGGACAGGAGGGTCACCACAGCGGTCAGCTAGTCAGGCTCTCAGGTTGCATGAGCTCGGGAAGCCAGCCAGCTCACGCAAAGTGTGCAGCAAGCAAACAAACCCCCCACAGAGCCATAGGCGGGCACCAGGAAACACACAGAAAGCCACTGAGTGCAACACAACAAGGAAGTGGCAAGTTATTAACTGTAAACCATTCACTTGAAGTTGTGCTGGCTGGGGATGATGGGAGCTGCAGTCCAGCACACCTGGACAGCTCCGGGTTGGGAAGTCTGGTTACTGGATCATTGCTCACTCAGGCACCGCTGCTCTTGCTTGCTTGGATAAGCACCAGCTGTTTTCACCTGAGGAGGCAGAAAAGGTGTGTGGACAATCCTGGGAGAGAAGCAACCTTGTCTCTTCTACCCTACTGGAATAGCAGTTTGTCAGAGGCTGGCCAACGTGACGAGCAGTTTCTTAAGCACGTGGGAAAGTGTGTCCTTCTGCCTCAAAGGTTCTTCCCTGCCTAAATCCTTGGGCCTGATTTCCCCTAACTGTAGTTTAGTCTTTAATCTTGACCTATTGTAAAATTTCTTGGGAAAATTGAAGAATGTCTTTTCAAGAAGCAACAACACTATAATTTGCCATTTCTGGGCAAGGTATTGAGGAAAAGGGTGGTCAGAGAAATTCAGTTACTTTTGGAAGAAGCTGATTGTCTGGTTCAGGACAGAGATGGCCTTGGTGCCTGAGCAGAGAGCTGGCACACGTGGAATTTTACTTGGAGAAGTGACTCGGGGAACTGTCATGCTGAGCACTTGCACCTCAAAGCGTACCGACCCCCCTGCTTGCTTGCCTGGGATCCCGTCGCTCTTAGGCCATCCTCACAGGCTGTGGGCTGGAGGCATTTCCTGGTGGCTCTGCTCCTTCCTGGGGAACAGATTCCATCCTGCAGGGTTCAGTTTCAGCCCCTGTGCTTTCAAACACGAACATGAAACCACCAGGAGGTGGGATTCAGCCAAAGATCCAGGGTGAGGTGCCATCACGATGCTGATGACACTCAGCCCTTTTCTCATTTGTCTTGCATCCAGGTGAGATGGTGGATTTCCTGGTGGTAGATTAAATACGGGCAAATACATGGAATCTACATCCAGACAAGATGGAGCTGATGATGGGAGGGACTCAGTGGACAGCTGGCTGGGAAAATGTCTGCCTTGGATAGGACCACACTGACCCATAAGGGGTCAATTCAGAGTTCAGAGTTGCTCTTACAGCCAGCACTGGTCCTGGATACTTCATTTGGTGGCTGCTTGTTCATCAGCTGTACCCTTCACTGCTAGAAGACAGAGAGCTAGTAGCATCCACGCCCTGGGGTCCGTTGCATATGCTTAGATCCACAGTATTGTTCTATCATTTTATATTTGCGAGCTTGTTTATTGGGGCAGTATGGCCCATCGGTATTGTAAGCAAGTCAGGAAGAAAATGATGCATGCTAAAATTTGGGTGGATAGTAATAGAATAAAGAATAAATAAATAATAGAATAAAGGGAGAAAAAAGGTGGAAGAGTGGCAGGAGGGAGGGAGGGAGAAACTAGAAGCTTGGTGAAAGAAGAGAAAGCTTCTCTTATAGGGCAAATAGGTATATACTACGGGGCAAAAATAGTTGAATGAATACATGGCTGGATTCAAGGTCACGCAGGCCATTTGGTAATTGTCTTCATATTTTATGACTGAATTCCAATCTTGTTGAGTTTTCTCATGGTACCTGCTATGAATTGCTACAAACTGCTCAGAGAGCTTTGGCTGTTGGGGTGGTATAGAAAGGAAATAAAGAATAACACCAGCAAGAAGAAATTATGACAATTTAAAGTTATGACAGACTTGTTCTTTAATCATGAATGGGAAGAGGGGTTCAGACATTGACCCAGGATAGATGACTGCATTCAGAGCCCTGGCTTAGATTGAACTTTTACCCAATTCTCCTTCATTGTCGGCAGCCACTTCCTTCAGTCTCCAGCACAGATGAAGATCTGCAATTACAGATTGCCCTTACCTTGAGCAAACAGGAGCATGAGAAGGTATCGCACACCCCAGAGGTGAAAGGGCACAATCGCTTTCCTGTGATGGAATTCACTGTCTTTTTAACTGGGGCAGCTTTGGGCCTAGCTTTGCATCTTCTTCCTGAGGCAACCTGCTGTATCCAGGAGGGTCTAGAAATTCTGCACATCTTTTAGCTCTGGAAGTATTAATGTGGAGGAAAAATGGTCTACTCCACATAGTTATGAAGGAAACTCTGCATCATGTGGAAAGTAGTTTCGGAGACTCAGAAAGCTGAGAGTGGGTCTTACGGAGTCTCTTCCTCTCTTTCCATGACAAAACTGTGAAGTTCTGGAATTAGTTAAACAAAGTTTGACAGTCGAACCAGTGAGGCCTCTTGTGTTTTTTAGAGATCCAAGCACACCAGGCTGTTGTGTCCATTTATGACGCTCAGCTCTGTGCTCAGGAAGGCTTACCGGCTCTTTCCAGCTCTAACATATTTTCATATGTTAAACCCATCCTAGGCATATTAGCTTGACACTGAGCACAATGGAATTTGCTCCCAATAAAGTGTGCATAAGGGGCTCATTGTCCCAGAACTTGTGGGGCTCTTTTAGATGAGAGAATTCTAGACCCCCATCCTGGTCAGGACCCCCAGCTGCATCTTCTTCTTCTGCCTTCTGGTTCTCTTCTGGGTGCTAACTTTAACTCTCACAAGACTAACTATTCCTAACAGAGAGCACTTTATCATGGTTCTGTACATTTACAGCATGGGTTATATAGGTATAATCAAAAATTAAAACTGTAGTTGCCATTAAAAGTGCACACGGTGTTCCCTAAATGGTGGTCGTTGTCAGTGGGAAATGATCCTTTGTTCTTCTTGGCCTTGACTCAGACTTGGATTGTTTTTGACCGCAGGAGGTTAGGGCATGGCAGGGAGAAAACTCGCTCTTGCAGAGGGTGTTAGAAGAAAGTCACCTTGCTGTGGAGGAGGAAGATGATAAAACCAAGAAAAGTCAGGTATGTAGCACCGATTGGTCAGCTAATTGGTGGTGGACTGGGGTGGCCACTTCCAGAACACCAAAATAAGAGGAAATGCATCCTTTAAAAAAGGAGACAAAAGAGGAGACATATCTGCATAATGTTTGCACATATATAATACAGAAATTTGGAGATAATTGCTATGATTGGAATAGAAATAGTATACATCTCACCATGGTGGAGAAGACTGAGCCAGTGGCTGATGGGGCTGCTTGTCCCAGCACTAGCTGTGAGAGGGCAACTTCAAGAGCACAGCTGACTCTCCATGTAATTTGCTGACATCAAGCCAGACGTGGAGTGGGCAGCCCACTAAATACTTCAGATAAGAGAGGACTTCAGATGGACAACTGTCCTTTGTAAGAGTGGACATGCAGAAGCATCTCGCTTGGAGTGGGCAACCTTCTGTCCCTCCTTTGCTGTCTGCCCAGCCTTTCTCCGAAGTCTCCAAGACAGCTTCTACTTCAGGTGGAATTGCAGATATTGTAGCCTCATGCTGGAGGGTTCCCTGCTTACCACTGGCAATTTCTTTCCGCTTGCTCACGGAAAGATGTGTGATCTTCCCCGCTGCTTCTTTTCATGCCAGTGGCTAGGCAGAGTCTGCACTCAGGCGCAGCTTCCCCTCACCGTAGTCTCCCAGTGGTCTATGGCTGAGGATGAGTGGCTTCAGATTTCCTTTGGGTGCACAAGGGGGGCTTTTTGGAATCTCTAGCTGCAGCCCAGAGCACTGCCAGAAAAACAGCAAGAACCCTGAACTGTTTGAGCCTGCGGTGAAACTGATTTCGGGAAGACTTCACTGCTTCTCTGGACTGCATCCGCTGTATCGGCAGGTGAAATGCCAAGAGGGCGCACAGTCACCATTTCCTGGTTTCTTGGATATGTCCTTGAGTCCTAAGGGCACCACAGAGGGAGCATCAGCTGGAGGCCTGTCCCTCTCTGTATGGGGAGGTAAAGGAACCACGCATGTTCTGTTGCTCAGATTGTGTTTGTCAGAGATCCAAGCACACCTGGCATTCATGGCGCTCGACTCCTGCTATGCTCAGGATGGCTTATTGGCCCTTTCCAACTGTAACCATGTGAGCAACATCACGTGCCCATAGCCCATTCTCATATCGGTGGCCTGCATAGTGGGGTGTTGGAGGTGGAGCAAAAGACACAAATATCTGAGAATACTGGGAAGGAATATAATTATGCGTTTACATGTAACATCAATGTATAGTAATCCTGTGACATGAACATACAGCAGCAAACCAGTTGTTCAAGAAGACCTGCTTTAGATGGGTGTCTGGTATACTCCAGTTTTGAATCATCTTCTTCAAATAGTTATTCTGAATCACTTTAATTGAAAACAGCACAGGCAATGTCCATCTCTCAGAAGATTATTCAAGCCAAATGAGTGATACCAAGGACGGTATCCTACTTTCAGAAGATTTTTCAAAGTTTATGTCAAAAAACAAAAAGTTGTTGTCCTACCCATCCACTGAGACCTGGGAATGAGGTCCTTCTGAAAAAGTCATCCCGAAAGGAAGGAAAAGGGATGGCAATTAGAAGAAGGGCCTTCTCAGTGGCTGCCCCCCCACTCCTGCCACTGTGGAAGTGGCTTCTTAAAGAGGCCCACCTGGCAGCATCCCTATTTTCATTTTGACACCAGGTGAAAACTGTCCTCTTTTGAAGGTATTTCAGAACCTGATTTTAAGACCTGACTGCAAGAGCTCACTCTACCATCAGCAGGTTTCTCCTTTCCTCTCTTCCCTCCTGTACTTAGAATTGTACTGTTGGCCTGTTTTTAATGTTATAAGCCACTTAGAGGGCTATTCAGCGGCCTATAAATTTGAAAATAAATAAATAAGAATACCCCTAGTTATAATGATGTAGACAAACGGCAGCTTCAAATTGCCAAATGTGTCCATTGCATGTGTTAATTATATTTCCGGGGGGAAGATGAATCAAACAGAGGAGTTAAATACTTACAAATGTCCTGGGTGGATATTCTCTACCTTGTTAAGAAGTCTCCTGAAGCTCTGCATCACACCCACTTTACCTGCAAAGGCAAGCCAATGCAACATACAAGCATGGAGCTCAACTCAGCCAAGCACATGCAGCAGTATGCAAGGCATGGAAATTTGGCTCGAGTGTAAGCAAAATCTCCATAAGCTGCCACAGGTAACTTCTCATTGCTGGTCTTCCTCTCTCTAGATTGCACCAGGCTGAATGAGACCATGCATTATCTTATACAGGAAGGTAAACATTCTGACAGGTGGAAACTAAGACTGGGTTTATTGTGGACGACTTCTCCCGTCACCCTTGACTTTCGGCCATTCTGGCTGGGGCTGATGGGAGTTGGAGTTCAGCAACTTCTGAAGGCCACGTGCCCCCCATTCCTGCTGCAAACTATGGAATATTGTGCAGAATATTAATTCCTAAGAGTCTGAGGCTTGAGGAAGGAAGGCATTGCAACACTGTGCCTGGAGAGGGGGAAGACCCCCATCTTTGATAGCTTCCAAGCTTGTGGGTGGGTCGCGAAGCATTCACATTCCACGGATCTTGTGGACGCTAACCCATGTTGTGCCTCCGTCTCTTTCCAGTCTTCTGTGTTAGAGCTGGCAGACATTTTTGGACCCGCACCGGTCACCTCTGCCCACACTTCCGCTGATCCATGGGATATCCCAGGTGGGGGCACTCCTCAGTCTGTTGAGGTTTGGAACCAAGACACGGCCTTCTCTCCTCCTGCTCTGCCCCTGTCCAGTTCTTGGGAGCATAACAGTAAGGAGCTCTGCAGCTGCTCTCGCCTTTCTTCCATGCCGTGCACCCTTTTGGCCTGTGTGGGCAAATGTTTTGTTACTGTCTGCTGTTGCATGTTCTGCCTGTGGCTGCAGCATCTGGCTTGACTAACCAGCTTGAAGGTGCCGTCTAATGCATGTGGGGAAAGTGGGGAAAGTTCCACAATTCCCAGGGAATACGTCTGAGCCACCAAGGGATGTTCCGGGTGCCCAGACAGTGCTCAGATCTTGGAACTGGGAATTGGAACCTCAAGCCCTTCCCTCTCACAACTCTTGCAGAAAGAATGGGGCACTCGCTGCCTCTCTGAGGTCAAGGACACAACCTCAGGGAGGGAGCAACGGGGCTGCTTCTGTGGCTGGCAGAGGAACTGGGGAAGCCAGGAACTGAGCTAGTCTTGAATCTCTTCTGCTTCCTTCCCTCTCCCTTCAACATGCCCCAGTGAGAAGGGCAAATGATGCATATAGAGAAAACACAGAGTGGGAAAACAGGGACGTGAAGATCAGCTCTGCTCCTGCTCCCACCTGGCTGAGGATGGGCATAGCCTCCAAGGGATTAAAAGCATCTGGACAGAGAAAAATATGCTCTTATTAATCAGATGGGGAGTTTGTATTAATACAAAAGTAATCACAAGTGTTACATTAGAAGCACTTAGGAAAAAAATCCACGCGTGGCAGGGGCTATGCTGGGAGACCTATTTGCCCCTTAGGTCTCCCCAGAAAGGCTTATCCTGAGAGGGGTCTTTCTGGGTCATGCGATCATCTAGAAATAATTCCCCAGCCCCCTCCAGAAAGCATTCATGTGCAAACCTATGCAGTACAACCCAACAGAGATACCCATACGCCTCCCAACTCAGAGGATTATGGGCAACCTATGAAGAGCAAGAGGAGCAGAGTGGTCTCTTTGCCTCCATGTTCCTCCTGCCTGCCCCGCAAATCGGCTCAGAGGCCCATTTCGGCCATCCAGCTGCAAGGGGTTGGACCAGGAGGAAGGAAACTGGAGCACTGCCAGGATATGTTGCATCCTTGTGGACCCAGCCTCTTCCCCATGGTGCTCCCCAGAGAATGTCCTCTTTACCCCTTCGATGTGGCCACTGTTCCCATGCCCGGCACAAGGGAGGGAGGGGGCGCCAAGCATAGAGTCCCAGCTCTGAGGTTGGAGCACTTTCCCAACCCCATATAATCTGGGGACCCAAAGAATCCTAAAGCCCCCTCAGCACTATGTATGGACCACTCCATAGGTGTTCTTTAAGCAGGTGACATCTCTAATGCCATTCCCACTTATTTACCTGCTCTCGAACCTGCAAGTTTGTTCATTCTCTCTTTCTTCCCCACATCCGTTGCTTACAGCTATTTTGATTCACACCTCACTTCCCTGTCTGCTTGCTTCTTCCAGCTACCAAATCCACTGTGGAATCGGCAGGGACCTCTTGGGGTCCCACCACAGACCCTTGGGTACCTGTACCTTCAGGGGATGCTCTAAGCCAGACAACAGCATCTGCCAGTCAAGCTGCCGCCGTGCCCTGGGATCTTCCTCAGATCTCCTCCTCTGCCTCTTCCTCTGATCCTTGGGCGGTGAAGTCCCTGCCTGCCAGCATCTCACCCTCAGATCCCTGGGGAAAGTCCTCACCACCTGCTCTAGTCTCCGCAGGTGTCACTTCTGCCGCTGATCCTTGGGGAGGCCCTGCGGATAAGCCTTCTGCCACTGGTAAGAAAAGCCACTCGGGGAAGAATTCCCAGGTTTCCTTCCCCCTTTTTGTGGCCTTCATTTCCCCCCTGCATCATCATTCCTTCTAATTTCATTATCATCCTATCCCATTTCAGAGTTTCTCTATAGTCAAAGCTCTCTATACTTGTTAAGAAACAAACAACAAAACCCGTAACGAAGAATTAAAAGCAGCAACAACAAAAATGTAAACTTTTTTTTAAAAGGGATCAGCTAAAACATAGGAAAAGATACACCTTTGAAGACACCATTAAAAATGAAACAGTGGCAGAGCCCTACAACCCCCATAACACGAAAACCATATAAGGTCAGCTACATACACATGCTGCATAATACCCCATTTAAGCGCTCAGCTAGGGTGAGTAGCATTTATCTCCTGGTGACCACCTCAGTGGTAACATGCACCACGTGTTTATCTTTAGGGTCAAAATAGAGTTGGGACAGGTCACTGCCCTGCCTTATGAGCTGGTACATGCACCTCTCTCAGCCTCCCGTCCACCTTTAAGGCCTTCTGGCCCAGCAGAGACCCAGGAGTTCCATGGACACCTGCCTTATGTGCCTGCAGCACAGCTGTCTCTGCTCTTAGGCTTCAAAGTCCAAGGGATGAAGGCTGGGAGAGGACGGGCACACCTCTGTCGCCACTTTTCTAGGGCTCCCTGGGAAATCTGCTCAAGCTCTTGCTTCCATTGCCCTCCATGGGAAGGCGAAGCATGGAGAGTGCTCAATTATCCCTGGGAGGGGTGAGTGAGGAACAGAGAAGGAAGGGGGTGAATGGCAAGACCCTTGAGTCCCATGAAGGATTTGCCTGGCTTTCTGTCTTCATCTCTCCATAGGCAGTGTTCCATTCGACTTGTTTGCAAAACTACCAGAAGATACGGATCAGGCGGAACATGACAGCTCCCATGCCCCTGCCTCTGTGAAATCCAACAGCCCTGTTGGTAAGTAAAGATCGAATGCAGTTGTCCCCAGCTGCCATTTTTCCAGTTGTTTTGGATTCCAGCAGCCTGCAGACAGCATAACAACTAGTTAGGGAAGATGGGAGTCGTAAGCCATAACATGGGTAGGGACCCAGCTGATGTCGCCTGCTCTGCCGTATCCAGGGGGAGAGATGGTCATGAGAATGGTGTAGACGCCCACAGGAACTGACACCAGCTTTCCTTTGGCAGGTCCTCTAGCCATGTTTTCCCAGCATCATTTTGATCCCGTGATTTTGACAGCCACACACTGAAGTGGGGGATATCTTTTTGACCTACAATTCTTCCCCCACTGCTTTGATTTGTTTTTAAGGTTTCAAAGTTGATGATGCTATTCAAAAATTTCTCATTTGATTATAAGTCACCGTGGGGTCCTATAGTGGTGTGGTGGTGAGAGGCTGGAGTGGGGAGCTGCGAGATCTGGGTTCAAGTTTCCACCAGGCCATGAAGCTTGCTGGGTGACTTCAGGTCAGTCATGCACATTCAGCCTAACCTACCTCACAGGGTTGTTGTTGTTGTGAGGATGTAAGTCATCCTGGGTTTCTCACAAGAGGAAAATGGCAGGATGCAAATCCAATGTGGTGGTGGTGGTGATGATGTATTTATACTGAAAGAACACAATTCTTGTAGCATGTATCCCGCCAGGGATGCATATGGCTTTGCCCTGCTTTCACTTACCCTGTAGTGGCCTTTTGGTTTCAATGTTATCACCTTATATTAGCCTCTCTCGATCTGGTACCCTTCAGATGTTCTGGCGTATAATTCCAAGCAGTTCTGACCATTGCGTATGCTGGTTTGGGCCGAGGTGAGTTGAAGTCCAATGCACCTGGAGGGCACCAGGCTGGGGAGGATTGCTGTATGGTTTCCATCAAGCTCTAGTCTTCCAGTTGGAAGAGGCTGACAGCATTTGGAATCACAAGCAAGAATTTCCTTAGAGCAGGATATCCACAAGGTATTTTTGAGGACAATCCTGTTTTGCAGCAGAATTAGGTGAGGGAATCTTAGGGGAAGGGAGGTTGAAAATGAGATTAGAAAGATGACATGTGCTAAAGGAAGGCAGTGCTGAGAATAAAGACAATCATGTAACGACTACGCTATACCAAAATTTGTCTGTTGCTCCCCGATGGATTAGGCTTGGGGCAGCAGTGCCCAAAGTAGCGGTAGGCAACCTGGTGCCCTCCAGATGTTTTAAGTTTCTATCAGCCTCCCAGAATGCATTTATACTTAATCATGGTGAACTCACCCACACAGGGCAAGGAGAGAAGGCTACAGGCTGGTGAGGGGAGGCCTGGACCCTGCAGGTTGCCCATCATTACCTGCAGGGGCCTTTGGGTGTTAATATAATTAGCACCTGAAGCACTTCTTTAAATCCTTCCACTCTGCAAGACAGATGGGTGGCCATCCTGGTGCCTGCTTTTGGAATCCCCTGCTCAGGCGGTGAGGTGTGCCTGGTGCTTCCCCCGGTTTCATTCCAGTGCCAGCAGCAACCCTTTTCAGCTGTTTAGGCGTTTGTAGTTGTACCAGCTGTAGATGCATCTTTCAGCTGGAATTTAAGTGCTGCTTCATTTCCTTTTGTAGTATATTTCATTATATCTTCTGCTTTTGCTGCTCTGTTTTCAGATTGCACCTGAGGTTATACTCCTCTGGCCTTAGATATTGTTTTGGGGGCTCATAGTTTGGATGCCAAGGTATTATTCCAACTTGGGAGGTGGGAATCATAGCTCGAATCCCCTTCCTCCACCCTCTACAACCAGCAGAAAAAGAACCGCACTGGCTGCTCTTGAGGTTTGGGAAAGTGACCCTGGGGAGGTGTCAGAGGATGGGGTCTGGTACTGAGATAACCTAGTAGCACTGCAGCCTCCTCCCTCCCTCCCTCCCTCCCCCAAGATGAGGATGCTGTCGCCAGGTGGCCGGAAGTGTCCATGCAGCAACAGTGCAAAGTGGGGGGGGGGGAGTGCCTCCGCTGCCCCTTCCACTCTGTATTAAGCAGCTGAGCCGGTGGCTTACAGGCATCCCCACAGGATGGCACCCTAAACCAGCCAATGAGAACCCCAGGAGAACGTGGGACAAGCCTGGGAGCATCGACACAAACTGTTATTTGACCCACCCCCTTTGTTGTTGGCAGATGTGGACCTGTATAGTGACCTCATTTCAAGCACCAAGGAGAATGGAGTCAAGAATAAGGACGCTTTTGATATTACAGGCCTCGGAGACTCTCTTCCTGACCCAAAGAAGGAGAAGAAGGATAGCAAAACTCCAGAGACCTTTCTTGGCCCAAATGCCTCCTCCTTGGTTAATTTGGACTCTTTGGTTACAGCTCCCCAGAACCTGAAGTCTCGTAATCCATTCTTGGCAGGTAGGTCACGTAGGAAAGCCACTCAGGGGAAAGGAAAGCCCGTGGCAGATTGCTTGAGGGGCTGCAGGAGCTGCTGGCTTGTGCATTCATTCATTCATTCATTCATTCATGCATTCATGCATTCAGAATATTTATATGCTGTCCTGTCACAAAGGCCTCAGGACGGCTTACATAGATAAAATAATATAAAACATAACACAAATGAATTACAGATCCACACTGGCTGCAGTTAAAAACATATATAAACCAATATTAAAAGTTATTAAAATATTGCTGGAATAAAAAGACCCATGGACCCATGCCTGCCTTGACAGCGGTTTCCCAGTCCACAACCCTTTGCCTCGCCCTGCCACAGAGCCCCCACCTTTCCCGTCTAGTCCCCTTTTCATGGGGCTCATCTCTCCACAGGCATCAGAAAATCCAAACTGGCCTGAACTAAGAGCATGGATCCTTGCCACACACCAGAGCAGTGCTCATTTCTTCGTGGCTTATGACTCCTGCTTCCGCTGTGGATGCCAAGTGGTTCAGCCCCAGCAGCACTAGAAAACGTGGTGCAACGTGCAGTCCCTGGAACACAGACAGGGCTCACTCCCACTGCTGTCCTAATCAATGTTAAAGAGAGGAGGGGTTCTTGGTTGTGAAAGTTGCCACCATCTGGCACAGAATTTGAGGCCGTGGTAGTATCTGGTCTTGGACACACAACTCCTGGCGAAGTTATGCTGACAATGTCTTTTTCCTTCTCCCAGGGCTCAGCACACCTTCTCCCACCAACCCCTTCAATGTCCTCGACCAGCCCAAGCCAACCCTCAACCAGATGCGGACCAGCTCCCCGGGGCCCAGCGCAGCCATGGGAATGGGCGTGGGCGCCATGTCCTACAGCGCTTCTCTCCCTCTCCCACTCAGCAGCATCCCATCGGCGATGACCCTGCCAGCCTCCATGAGTGCCTTCCCTCAGGCTGGGGCAGGCCCTTTCCCAGAGCTTCCCAGCAACTTGCCTCAGCCTCTCCTACCGCTCTCTGGCTCAGTCCCGCCACCGCTACCTTCCCAAGGCAGTATGAACCCGTTCCTCTGAGAAGACTCTGTTGAAATTGCGTGGACTCTCTTGCTCCTTCCTGTGGCGTTTTGGAGAAACTCCTATGCCAATGCTTTCTGGGCGCATTTGTTTTGAAGGGAGGGACTGTCATCCTGGAAGCTCTTCTCCGATTTTCGGCCCAGGCCAAAGAGACCCAGTGACTCTCCTTACTTGGGGGCTTCAGAAGAACCAGCCCCTCCATGATGCTCAGCATTGCCTACAATCTGCCTCTGATCACAACCGGGATATGCCTGCCATCAACGGACGCTGCTCTGATGGGTGCAGAGATGATGGGAAGACCCCGAGGAAGGAGGGCATTAACTTTCAAGGGTCTCTGTTCTCCAATACCTTCCTGCTGGTATGGGCGGACTAAGATAAAACATCAAGAAAAGTCATGCATAAAGACGGTCTCTTCAGTGGGGAGGACAACGTATTTTGTACTCTGCATGGAAAACACAGCCCTTTTTGCCAAGGTCTGCAGCTCTGCTGTGTGCATGACAGGGCCACAGTCCCACTTCTGGAAATCAAGACAGCTCAGCAAGTATAGCATTGCTATGCGCAAGAGGCTGACATCCGAGTCCTTCCCCCTCCAGCCCCGAGTCACCTTCACTGGGTTGCTTGACTAAGCCAAATCTCCTCTACTGCTGTTTGGCACCCCATCACACCCCGGAAAGGTTCAAGTTAGAACTTGAAAACCCAACTTTCCCAGCTACAAAAAGAAGTACATAAGACACATATTTATTCCTGTGCATCCTTCAGTTGGCTTGTCAAGTTTTAGGTTTTGCGATTTAGTGTAAAGGACCAGTAAGGCAGTGGGATGAGGCAAGTGGAAGCCTGTGGGATGCAAGATCAAAAAGACTGGGCAGTTGAAATAAATGCCTGTCATTCAGGGGTATGTCTTACTAATGATGGGAAGGGAGGGCAGCAGAAGCATAACCTTCATCCCGCCCCTTGGAATTGTCTCACCAACCTACCTGGGCTTCTCCTCCTTTGCTCAGAGAACTGCACAAAGGTATACTGAGGAACTAGGCAGACTAGATACTAGCCTTTAAATAGCCCCCAAACTGAGACCCTGAAGAAGGCATCGTCCTTCATTCTAGGAGTCCACTGTTCCTGTTGCCACTCATACTTCAGGCCAGACATCCAAGTTCTCTGCCCTTGTGCTTCTGCCTACTTTGATTCAAATGGACTTTTCTTTTGATATCTTGGTACTTCTTGGGGAGGGGATCTGGATCCTCCCCTGTTGTCACCCTGGACCACTACATGCCTGACCACAAACTCTGCAGCTGTTCCCCAGTACCTACCTCTCAAGTCCTAATCGCCAAAATGCGAAACTCCTGAAACAGAGCTCCATCATCTAGAAACCCTTGAATGAGCCCCGCGAAGCTCATGCAGGCATTCTGGACAGCTTTACTGGAAGCAAATGCTGGGATGACCATTCTTCGAATGTGACTTTAGAAACCCTAAAACTTGCAAACCGTATTATTGTGCTTGATGGCCTCGGAGCATTTCACTGGTGTTTGGATTTGTTTAAACACTGAAAAAGACACCGATGGATGTGTGTTTTAGCCTCACTTTTTAGGCAACCTCTCCCTCCAAGATCCTTCCAGGGTATCAATGGACATGTTGAAAATCAGAGAGCCAGAATGGCAAAGGACTGTATGCACAGATGAAGTTAATATTCCAGTTATCAGCTGTGTCTTAACGAGGGTTGCATCTGCAGGATAGATGGCTGTGGAGCACTAATGGGGCTGACACAGCCTAGAAGGAGGATCAGAGCAAGGGCCGGGCACAGAAAGCAGTGGGTACAATCCCTGAGGCTTTATTGTCTATGCTTATGCACCACCACAGCAATCCCCATACCAATACAGACTTTTGGACTATAGTGGCACATGGGGGCGGCGGGGTGGGTAGGAAGAAGCAGTCAATAAAATATCCAAATGTGCTTGATGTTTTGCACTCTTCCTGATGAATTCCTCTTGTGTTTTAAATCTCCTGCTTTCCCTTCGGGTCTGGAGAAAGGGCGATGTAGGTGAAACCTCTGGGGGTGAAAGAGTGAGGGGTAGAAGCTACCCCTACTAGAAATTGCTTCAGAAGCATTCTTCATCCGAGTCATTTCAAGGTCTGGGCAAAGCTGCTTTTGTTCAGTCCAGACAACCACCAGGACACCATGGAACCAATCCAGTTTGGCTACAAGAAAAAAAATGAAGCCAGTTCAGAGTTATGGCAATACTTAAAGCCTTCATTCTCAATAAGCAAACACCTTGGTCCTTGTTTGCACTTCTCCTTCAGAAAAATCACTTAGAGGGGGTTATTTCTCTCAAATGGCAGGCGTGTTTCAAGAAAGCACTCCCCACTCCCTGCAGCATTTAGTGCCCCAGTTCTGACAACGGTGAACATCACAGCTGGCATTTTGGATTCGCCTGCCATTCACTTTAACCAGCATGGTCCGTGTTTAGGCATGCTGAGAACTGCAGACCAAAACATCTGGCAAGCACCTGAACAGGAAAGGATGCTCTGTATGTTTAAACCTTCCACAACACATCCCACTTCCCTGGGATGATGCAATATGCACATATCTGTGAAAAAGTCCCATTGAACAACATGGCTCTTATAGGACTGCATGGTATATCAGAAATTATTCCTGCAGTTCCGGCAACATGTTATGTCCTTAAACTTGCTAGAGATGGCAATGACTGCTTGACAGTTTTGCTGGGGAACCATCATTGGTCATCCATTTGAGTTTTGTACTCCTGCCCTAATCTTTCTATGGTTTTATTTTAGAAGGGTCTGATTTAAGTAATTCCAAAATAGTAATTCCAAAGTCGATACAAGAGTTATTGGTTGAGTACAGTTATAGAGCTTCTCAAGAAGAACATTTTCCTAAGAAAAAGGGGTTAAACCATTCATTCACATTATTTATGTCACAGTGGTTAATACATGTGTGAGGTTACCCATAATTCTTAGACGAGTCCCACATAAGTAATAGGAACTTCAGTTGGCTTAATATTGATCCGACCCATTAGTTGTGACCTACTCAAACTCTATTATGAAAAAGTTGCCTCACCTACATTTTCCAAGAACAGATTACCACCATCATACACTGGTACAACAGGACATCCATGTTCACAGAAAACGCAGTCTAGATGTAAGTCGAAATGTTTGCTATGAATTCAGCCATCAGAAAGGGAACAGCCATGGTGCACCTTACTTTTTACCAGTGAGTGAGTGATAATCAAGCCAAAGCAAGGGCAGGCGGCAGTGGGACGGACCTAATTCAGGTTGCTTCTTGCAGTGGGAATGGATTTCTTCTCTAGGGAGTGTTGTGACACTGAATGCTATTCTGAAAGCTTTTTAGCATAACTGTTGTTTGAGAAACACCATTCTTCCGTAAATTTTCCATCAACGGCAGCTTGGTAAGAACCAAATAAAACAAAATACCTCCCCACATGCTCTTCAGCTGGATGGACTGGATGAGATTATTTTAATCAACTCCCCTTTTGCCCAGACACCAGCAAACACATCCTAAATTCTCAGTTTGAAGCATTGGGGAACTGAAACCTGATGATTAAGATGTTAACATAGGAGTTCAGGGAAATGGATGCTGACTGGCTTGGCAGCTACACGGCTATTTAGCTTTGTTGCTTTTACAGCCCCACAATGTGTAAAGCCCAAGATACATGTCTCCTTTGATCCATCCCTTTCTAGGCTTCAGATAATGCTTCAAAATGTGACTCTGGCTGGTATTGGCATAATTACCTGGAAATGCCGACTTAACTGTTGAATTTTCTGCAACAAGATGTGTCAATGGCTGCCAAATTAGATGGTTTTAGACAAGAAACAGACGGAAATCCATGGAGAATGTCAATGCCCATTAGTCACAATGGAAATACGTTGCCTCCAGGATCAGATGCGGTATGCCTCTAAACACTATATTGCTACAAGCAGGAGGGTGGCATTGCCTTCGCATCCTGCTTAAAAGCATCCCAGAGGTACCTGATTGGCCCCTAAAAGGAGCTGGATGCTTCTGTTTTAGGTAAATGAAACTATATGGTATAGTTGCTGCCATATAACCAGTAGGGGGTGTTTGTTCTGCAAGGAGTTACAAAGTGCAGTTTTGTATGCTAGTGCAGAAACCTTTCTAGCTGTACTATTCCTACCCATCCAATTATTTAAAAAGGATGTATTTTCAACTTGTTACAACCCATCCATCAGCACTATTCTAAAGAGAACAATTATATCCTCAGGTGAATACAGACTGTAAAAACCCATAAAATTAAATAAAATTAAAAGAATAAAATCAATATTGATAAAAGCATCTTGCCTTGATCCAGAAGGAACCAGAAACAGGATTAAAACAAAGCAAGGCTGCAATCCCATGTGCCTTTACTACAGAGTAATCTCTACTGAATACAAGGAATGGCCTGAGTAAAGATGCACAGATAAGAAGTCCATCTCTTTAAAGCACATTTCAGGTATTCTGACTGGCTTCAGAGTAATCATCTCCACATTCCTTCAGAAAGGACAGGGTACTATTCCCACCTTCCAAGAGGAGGGGATAAGACAGAGAGAAGGGTAGTTTGCTACAGGGCATGCATGCCTGTCCTGAAGAGGGCGACCCTGGACCAGAGATAGCCACCAATTATAGGCCAGTGGCTAATATCCCATTTTTGGGCAAGGTGCTTGAGTGGGTGGTGGCCGGACAACTTCAGGCACGCTTGGAGGAAACTGACCATCTAGACCCATTTCAATCTGGTTTCAGACCTGGTTACAGTACTGAATCTGCCTTGGCCACCCTGTATGATGACCTGTGCAGGGAGAGGGACAGGGAGAGTGTGTCCCTGTTGGCTTTCCTGGACCTCTCAGCAGCTTTTGATCCCATCGACCACAATATCCTTTTGGACAGGCTGGCCAGGTTGGGAGTTGGAGGCACTGCTTTGCCTGTCTGGCCGATTCCAGAAGGTGGTGCTGGGGGATTACGGCTCTGCACCATGGCAGCTCTGCCACGGAGTTCCACAGGGGTCCATTTTATCCCCCATGCTTTTTAACATCTACATGAAACCGCTGGGAGAGGGCATCCGAGTGTTTGGGCTGCGGAGTCATCAGTACGCTGATGACACGCAGCTCTACCTCTCATTTACATCTGCTCCAGGTGAGGCGGTGGCTGTGCTGAACGGGTGCCTGGGCAGGGTGATGGGCTGGATGAGGGCTAATAAATTGAGGCTTGATCCAGATAAGATGGAGGTTCTGTTCTGGATGGGATTGCACTTCCCCTAAAGGACAGGGTGTGCAGTTTGGGAGTGCTCCTTAACACAGAGCTGTCACTGGAGACTCAGGTGGCAGCAGTGGTGAGGAGCGCTTTTCTTCCACTACGGCTGGTCTACCAACTGTGCCCTTAGCTGGATGAGCAGCGCCTGGCAACAGTGGCCCATGCTGTGGTAACTTCCTGGACTACTGTAATGCACTCTGCATGGGACTGCCCTTGAAGATGGTCCAGATACTTCAGTTGGTTCAGAATACAGCTGTCAGGATGTCAGTGGGGACCAGCAAGTATTCACACATAACACGAGTCCTCTGTCGGTTACACTGGCTGCCAATTGATGTCTGGCCCCAATTTAAGGTGCTGCTAATGTCCTATAAAGCCCTAAACATCTTGGGTCCTATATACCTGAAGGAGCACCTCCTTCTCTATGCGCCTTCCCACCTCTTAAGACTTATTTTATTTATTTGGATATTCCCCCCCCCCCCCGTCCTATACGTTGAGGGTCTCTGGACAGCTGATCTGAGGCAGAGGTCCTCTGGGGGCCCTTCTTGAAGGAGATTAGGAGGGTGGTTACCTGGAGAAGGGCCTCCCCACCAATTATGGAATACGCTCCCCAAAGAGGATAACCTGACGCCGATGCTTTATGCTTCTCGGTGCAGGGCAAAACCCTTTTTATTTTCCCATTATTTTAATGTTTACTTGGTTTTAAGGTGGGTTTTATTTATTGGAGATTGGATGCTGTGCTTTATTTTATTTTATTTTGTTCTGCTTTTATTGTAAAACTGTCCCAAGATGCTTATAGTGGATGGTATATAAAAACTTTCAACAAACAAGCAAGCAAACAAACAATTAAATGCAGTTCCAGGTTTACAGCAGAGACTGAGAGCTGATCTGAAAAACGCACCCCAGGCCTTTCTGATAGAATGCCACCCTGTGCATGCTTAGACTGAAAAACCCAGGCCTCCCAGCACGCCTCAGCCAGCATGCTGGGAGTTGCACAATGTTTTTCAGTTTAAGCATGCATAGGATTGTGCTCGTAGGCACTCACACCCCAGTTGCCAAAGTTTAAAGAACAATTTACAAAACCTGGATCATGTTTTATATGATCGGAATATATACCTGACAGGATCAGTCTAGGCTAGATCAACATTTTTCAAGAGAAGTGGAATCCCTTTTCATTTAAAAAAAAAAAAATTGGAATCCCATGTGTGAAAAACCAGCCAGGCTTCTAATTTGGGGTACAGTCTGTAATTTGCCCCAAATAACACAACAGTGACAAAGGACTAGAGATGCTGATTCTATTCCTACCTGTGGGCCAGCTGCTGTCTCAGCAACCCAGTTTATGCCTCCCCTTGAAATGTGCTTACACTTAATTTGCATTTTAGGGTAAAAATCAGGCTTTTGTCAGCTGCTCTTGTTCAGCAGAATGCATAATTAAGACTAGTCTCATTTCCTAGCCTTCTTCTTCCACCCAAAAGTCAACACCTAAGAAAAACAAGCATGTCCACCCCCTATAGGCAATCTTTTCACACCAGCTGCCTCAGCAACAATGTATTTTGTCTCCCACTGTCTTTGTGAAAAGTTACCTGTTTACTTTCACAGGCATCCTTTTTCTCAGCTGCACAAATAGAAAATCAATGCTCAAAAGTCAACAAGGCACAGGAGGAGGTTAATGCAGAGAAGCTCTGCTCTGCTCTTCTTTAGCATATGCTGGAAGGGACCAGGAGGTGGGAAGGAAGTAAAAAGTACCCATGCAGTGGCTTCAAGGCAGTGGTTGCTGAGCTGTTAATTGAAGAATCTGGTGGCTACAGAGTATGCCTGCAGTGGGATGAGCCTCTTGAATTAAGAGAATCTGTTTCTGAAAACAACACAAGGGGATGATGCTGTGAACTTACCTAGGCTTGTAATTTTTCCCCATCAGTGGAAAAATGTCTCCAACGCAGGAGCAGACCTCCAGACAGTGAGGAATTCCACACCAAGCAGCACTGGCAAGTGATGAGATGCAGGTTGGCAGACAATTCCATTGTGATTTTCATTCTGAGCTCCTGCACAATGAATATTTCATATGCCAAACCTTCTTCCCATGGCATATATTTTTGAACACCATTGCTGGACAGCAGTAACACTGTAGGCTTTGCTCCACATGGCTACACCTCTGGAAGGTGATCCTGGTCTGAGATTCCTTCCCCAGTAGATGCTGACTTAAAGTTTAATCCTAAAGGTACTTGCTCCAGTGGAAAGCAACCAGGGCCTTGATCCTGATGGGGCAGGCTGGGTTTAAGCTGGCTTTTTCTGCTGGAAGGGGACAATGTATTAAAGGGGAAGGCCCCATTAAAGGGGAAGGCCCATTGTTCACTTGTGGAGCACATGCTTTCCATGAGTTTGATCCCCCACATCTCTGGTAACAAAAATATTGGGTAGTAGCTGTGCTTAAGCATGACTGCCAGTAGAACTGGGACACCAGCCACAGCCCACCTGTGTTTCCAGTCCAACCATATGCAGCTCACCAGATCTTCCCATCCCTCAATCACTGAGTTCCCATCCCTATTCTAAAAAATTGAAATCTGAATTATCTATCTGAATAATTGCCTGTCTTAATTGTTGGCAGTAAGAGCTTTGTTTTCCTTTCTAAACAGGTGTGGGATTGCACCCTCATGCACACTGGGGTTTGGAGCATTCTGCCTCCAGCCCTTTTGCTTTTGGCCCTGCCCAGCACTGGAATGCCATCCTGTCCCCAGAGCTCCTCTGAAATCGATTCTGGCCCGGCGCTGAAGGGGAGTCTCCATCCTTGAAAGACCACAGTGGGGCAGAGGGGAAGGGCTGGCGCTCCAAGGTACGAAGTCCTTGAGTGCATTCGTGGGTTGAAAGGCAGGCTATAAATCAACTCAATAACTAAGAAAGGTACTAGGCAACTATTCCCAAACAAAAGCCTTTTCTAAACTCGAGTGTTGTTTCAGTCACAGACGGCCAAATGGTCCCACCCGTGCTCAGGCTGCTTCCTACACAGATCAGGTTCTTCGGCACATTGCGGCAATTTCCAGACATAGGAATGTTCCTTCGACAAGAAAAATATGCTCTGCATATGTTCAGAGAATCCTTGCCTTTGATAAGCGCTAATTCCCCGGGGGAGAAAGGAATTCCCGGTGCAGATACTTAAACGAGCTCAGGCCGAAATGGCAGAGTTTTGGAAAACCATCGCTGTCAAATCGTACTCCCGAAGCCTCTCGCATTCCTAGGGAACCTCCCCAGCTCTCCTGGGCCGAGGCATTTCATTTCAGAGAGTCGCCCGGAGAGCTGATCCCCGCACGCAGACACCGCGAGGATGCGGCTCCGCGGGATCGGGGCATCCTCCTCCCTTCGCCGAGCGACTCCGGGCAGAGCCACGGCCCTTCCCCCTGACCCCGCTGACGCGTGAACCGCCGCCGGCAGGCCCGGCCCGGCCCGGCTAAGCCCGGGCGGCTCCGCCTCCTCGTCCCGGACGAAGCTGCGCGGCTTCCTCTCGCCCCGACGGCTCGCTCGGGGGGCGCTCTTAGCACCGCCCCGCGGCGTTGACGGCCGGCGGCGGCGATGCTCCCCGCCCCCGTCGCGGTGCTGCGCCGCGCGGGATGCCGCCTGCTGCTCCGCCCGCTCGGCCCGGTCCGGCCCCCCTGGGCTCGCAGGTACACGAGGCCGCGCTGCCTCCGCTTCCCCGCCCGGCCGCCGGGAGCCCGGAACGGCGGGCCTCTGCGACTGCGGGGCCAGGCGGGTCACGTGCCGGCGGTGTTTACATGCGGGCGAGGCAGGGCGAGCGAGGGCTTGCCGCAGAGGGGAGCGAGGCCGCCGGGCCCCGCGGCGTTGCGCTGGCGTGCCCGCCTTGCTTCCCTGCCGCTCATCGGCACAGGTGTGCCATCGGTCGCTTCCCGAAGGAAGATCCCGTCCTCGGCCTGCTTCTAGTGGAAACGGAAACGGGTTGGTTGCCTCCTGCCCGAACGGGCCCTGTGGCGACAGGTTTGCGCCGGGGGACTGGATTTTTCTGCTTCAGCTAGTCCTCAGTGCGACGTGGTTTCACTTTGATCCGTAGGGTCGCAATCCTATGCCTAGAAAGAAAAATGGTCGCATGCTCCCTTCTGGGAACTATAGGGGTTGCTTTCCAGATTTAGCATACATAGGACTGCACTCTAAAGTAGCCTTCTGCAATCGAGTACACAGACAGGATGCAGTGGAGATGATGGGAGTGGTAGTCCAACCCATCTGGAGGGCATTAGATTGGAGAGGGTTGATCTAACTGAATGCCACCCCCAAGAAGCAAGGAAAAAAAAAAGTAAATGAAGCCACCTTGGCCAGAAGGAAAGTTCCAAAATCCACAAGTTCTTGCCCCTCTGCACCCCTCCAAACTTCACTTATTCACAGGCCCCCTTGCTTTAATGCATGGAGCTAGGCAATTCAGCTGTAATGTTTATCACATTAGCTTTTCTCCCCTTTAGTGTTTCTGCTGTTAATCCTTCTGCCCATTTTCTGTTGTTTGCTCTGCTCTAATGCAGGACTGTGCAGTCTGTTTATTCAACTTTAGAGAGAAAACTTTGGCTTATCATGTTACTGACAGTTGTTACATTTCATTGCATCCTTAGTAGCGTGTTCAGGATTCCTGCTGTTCCTCCATGTTTCCCTTGCTTTTTTCAGAGTGCCTGTAAGTGATGCCTTCATCTTGTGCCATACGAATGGCCTTGTTAGGCTGGTCCAAGATTCATGTCATTTGCATTAGCCCAAAATAGGGTGGCTAGACTGTTAACTGGGACTGGCCAACGTGATCGTATTTTGCCAATAATTCTCTGCTCTGGCTGCCAGTCTGTTTCTGGGCCCAGAGGAAAGCGCTGGTTTTATCCTTTAAGAGCCTTGACAGTATTTAGGGACAAGGTTACTTGATGTAATATCTCCTCCCATATTTTTATTCTTTGATATTAGGAGCATCATCCAAGGTGCTCTTGGGATGCTCCTGCCAGATGAAATGAAGTAGGTGGCACAAGAGAGATGGTCTGAAGTTGTGCGCTCTGTGTATGGAACACCTTCTCCACAGTGGCTCACCTAGCACACACATTTGTATCTTTTCAGGTCTGTTCACATCTCTTTTATTCTGGACAGGAGGGGGTTTTTTTTTTGGTCCTAATTTGGTATTTTACATTTTTTATGTATTGTGCACCACCCAGAGAATGTTGGCTATTGGGCTGCTTATGTATGATAAATAAATTCTACTTTGAATCATCTTTTTCCCCATCAAGGAAAAAAAAAATCTCACACATATTTACTCCAAAGTCAGCCCTGCTGATTTCAATAGGACATTCAACCCAAATTTATGATGCATTTGATTTTTCAATTTAGTAAATTGCTTAGAAATATTTTTTATATATGGTAAGTGATGGATTAAATGCGTTAATTTAATAATAATAACTGCATGTACCAGTCATAGTGGCATCCACTCTTATATGTCGTAGATGTACAAAAGTTAAAAGTGACTAGTTATGGAAAACTAATAGTATGTGATCAACATTTTTGTATAGCTCAGAGCCCCACAGGGGATCCCTCTGATAAGCCAACATTTCTTTATGGTTTTTGTTTTACTATTCTACATCTGATAGGGTTGAGACTGATAACATTTAAAATAAGACAAATCAATATAGCAGCCTCACAGATTACGTGTGATTGAAAAGGCTATTTTTTGTGCATGAACACACGACAGGAAGTTTTCCCAATCCTGGTTTTCTGTCACACGTTCGGATAAAATCTTGCATTTGTCAATTACACAAGTTACCCCTTTTGGTAAAACATTTGACAACTAAAACAAGAGCTGCGTAGCAACCTGAAGAGCCAGCGAAGCAGAGCTGGCGCTTCTCCAAAGTGGTCCTTGTGCCACCTTCTGCTTGGAATGTGAGTTCTGATTGGTAGAGACGAACCGCATCCCGGAATGTGGGTGGAGTCAGCATCATTTTGAAAATCCACAGCTCACGGGTAGGGTCGTTGGTATGGCTGCAACAGCCAGTGGACTTTAGGGAGGAGACACGAGGGGTTGGCCGATCCCAGTTTTAAATACCAGAGAGCTGTAAGGGGTCTTCTGCTTGACTGTGCTTGACTGAACGATGGTTGTTCCAAAATAAGCCGTTTAGCTTAGGTGAAGCTTTGATGCATAGAAATAATGGATATCTAGATAAAAGGGGCAGTAGGAAGAGTTAAAGAGAAGGCAGCTTGAGTTTATCTTCCAATTCTGTGGAGGGCCTTCTCTGTGTGCAGGTTTGGTTGACTGCAGAACATTCCTTCTCCCTAGGCCTCAACTGTAGATTCAAGAACTGAACCCCACATTTGTGGGCTTTCCACATCCCTTCCTAATTCCTTGTTATCACGTATGCACATGATTGTGAGCCATTCAGCAGGGGCTGTTTATCTTTTAATTTCTGCATAATGTTTAAAAATTTGGCCCTTAATAAATAACGATAAGTAACAGTGAGAAGTGCAACAGTAGATTAAACAATGCCTGGGTAGGATTGTGAACAGGATGGATACATTATATGGACACTTAATAAGCCAGAGATAGTGATTAACGGTTTAAAATGTATGTTAATGAAAGGACTGCAAATGATCAGGAGGTTGTGCTTGGAAGTAAGAAATGTATGTGTGGATGATAGTACAAATTAAGGTGGATATTACAGACATATCCGCAGGAGGAAGGACATATTGTTGAAGGTTGCACATATGTTATCTTCATAATGATGTTTAAAATTAGTTCCAGTGGTACCCTGCAGTTTTGACATGGTAATGTAATGTTCCAGATTATCATGTTCCTTATCTTTTATTTATTCCTTACTCTATATCCTTTGTTAGAAAGGCACTCAGAGCAGCTTACAGTAAAGTAGGCCAAAATATGAGCAAAACAATAAAACATGATAATAAAACAAGAAGAAAGAAAAAGAAACAACAGCACAAAACATAAAAGCAATTGGCTCCAGTAAAACAGTCAGGTTATAAAAGCCTTCCTAAAAAAGAAGAATCATAATGCTGTCATTGGCAATAACATTTGTAGTTTAAAATTCTAACTTCCTTTCTTGATATTTTGCATGTGACGTAAATAGTCGGGGTTGTATCCAGTCCTGGTCATCTGCCAGTGAAATGGAGACTGTGGGTGAGAGAGATTTTAGAGTCCTGCCCCTTGCAATCTGCCCCAGAAGACCGGGGAAAACTTCTGGACCAGATTTGCAAGGCCTGTGTGTGTTTGTGTAGCGCTTTGCAAGGGGAGGGGAACAAGGGGAAGTTCCAGGGAAAGTGGCAGTCTGTAGTGTTAGTCTACATCCCACATCGTCGGTGATCAGGTGTCCTCCTAGCTCATATTCTGTATAGTAATTGATATATAAATAGTTCTACAGACTTGACCTTCTAGGACTTTGTCCCCCAAAACTCTAAAGAGTTCCCAAATTTCAGCCTCCTCCTTTTTTTTTATGTTTTCTATGCTATAAACTAAAATGTGCCAGGGGCGCAAAATTTCCCCTGAATCTCCATATGAATAGTTATGTGGAACACTTTCATGGGTCCAAGCAATAGGCCCTGAAAAAGAAAAGAAAGTTCAATATAGAACTTTTAAAGACAAGATTCTTAGCAGGAAAATTGCGAACAAATAGAATTAAAATCTGTGGAGGGAAAGCTTTGCTATGATTTTTAAAACAAAGTAACAGTGAGAAGGCCAAACCATTGTTATAAAGAGAAAAGGTCAATGGGCCAAGCTTAGTTATGCAGGTTTTCTTGTTCTTCATAGCCTTTGGAAGTATTAAACCTTAAATTACGTGTACTTGTTGAAACCTCAAAGCCATTGTTAAGTTGAATGAAACCTCCTTCAGATGCTTTTCATATGAGGCACTTTTGTCTGGGGTCGAAAATGGCCCTAAATGCAACTAATGTTAGGGTCTTTTTTAGTGGACACAGGATGCCAACATATCTAGAAACTTTTGAGTGGTATATTGTGTGAATCTCAAGAGTCTGAGGCCCTGAACTCTCAGCGGGGCAGAGCTCCTGCGTAACGAGAAGGCTTGTTTCTATAAGCCCACCCAGGATGTTCCTCTCCAAGGAAGCCCCTGGTCCTGGATCACTGTACAGAACATAGCTCAGGTCTGTCAACAGCCCCCCCCCCCCGGTTTAGCTCAGCACGTCCATTTCCTTACTTGCCATCCTGGGCCTGCTTCATTTGTGAAACAGTGAACAGCAGTGTTTGCTCAGCAGCACACATTGGGGGTTGTTCTCAGCTGATCTCTCAGGGATGCGTGTGCTGGAACTAATCCAGATCTTAGTGCTTAGGAGATGAGCCAAGCTAACAGCCTTCTGTCTGTCTGTGTTCCCTGCTGTAGAACCATATTTCTGAGAACAGCCTTAGCCATGGCCACAGGAGGGAAGGGCGGCCACTCCAGCGGTGCTCTCTACACCAACCGCTTGATTCACGAGAAGTCTCCTTACCTCCTCCAGCATGCCCACAATCCCGTCGACTGGTAAGCGCAGCTTTCATTTACTAGGCAGCAGAGTGGGGCAGGATGACTGGGCTGGGGAGAAGCGTTGGAGGTTCATTGGCATGCTTCTTGAGGAAATGCAGCTTTTCCTCTACCAGCCAGGTCTCCCATTCTCTTAAACAACTCCAGCTGTTCTTTCTTCTGGCCTCAGATGCGCTTCTGTAATACTTACATGACATTTTCTCAGGAAAGGCGCCCCCCCGCCCACTCTTTTCCTGCTCTGGGATGGTAGCATTTTTATTGAGATAGGGCTTCAATGTGCAATTAACTGATGTTTTAATTGTCTTTTATGCTGCTTAATTTTTTTTGTTTTGTTTTACAACATGACAGTACTGACACAACTAGGGGGAATGCATATCATGTAATATCTATAGTTCATTAATATCTCTTTTGATACAGGGAGAAGAAAAAAAGAAATCATAGGGAAGTGGGGAAGGGTTAACATTTCCATTTTGAATATATATGCTAATATAAGCTAAACAAACTAGATAAGAGTCTGTATGACCTTGAGTGCTGTAGGAGATGTGCACAAATTATAGCAAGGTCTCCAGTCCACTGAGCGAGAGGTTGTGAGTGCTTTTCCTTCCAAGTTAGGTATGTAAGTTCCTTAGCAATTGTAAAGGCACCCAGTATACACTTTTGCTGTCTTTGATGCATGCCATTCAAAGTTACGCTTCCTGTCATTCCTGTATTCTAAAACGATGATCGTATAGTCATTTATCATGTACTATTTTGCTTACGTGGCTTTATTGCAGAAATGAAATGAGCAGATACATAAATAGCATGCAAGTAATTATTGAAGGAGTTTGGGGCATTGACGATGAGTTCGGGGCATCGATTCACTCCATATCCTGAGCTTAAAATGCTGGTATATGATAGACCCCAAGAGGGGAAGCAGGTCTGTGTTTTCTTTCAAAAGACTGATTCTCTCTCAGTGTTCCTTGGACTTGTGCTGGCCACACTGGCTGCCTCTGAGGTCACAGTGAGAGTCCTGCAACCTGCCATTTCCCAGCCAGACCCTCCAAGAGAGCTTGTGGAACAGAGCTGGGATGTTCAACACTGGGAAAGCTATTTCTAAATTGTGGTAGCTCTCAAGGGATTAAAATCAACAGCAACGATAGTAGTCCTGACTTCTCATTATGTGCACTCTGCTCCTAGCCTGTGTCGATGGAGCATCACACCTGCACACCAGCCCCACACATGCGCAGGCTAGCAGGTCACCCCGGGGAGTCGCTGTAGCGTCTGCCCAGCTCTTGCAAAGGGTCCTCTTCCCCACACAAATGGCTCGTGGTCTTGGCTGGAGTCAGGTGTGTTCCACCATCCTGGGGGGCTGTCCTGGCAGTGTTCCTGTCTGAGCGGGAGCGTGGCTCTCCACATCTGGGCTTGGGTGGGTCGTGCACGTCTTCTGTGGGCAGGTGCTCTCTAAAAGTCCCTGGCATATCGTGAAGAAGGGTCGGCGCTCTGCTTGAAGCCGGCTGTCTGCATTCAGCACAGGCAGGATGAACAGGGTGAGCCATTCTTCCTTTGTCTTCTTCTCAGGTACCCATGGGGCCAGGAAGCCTTTGATAAGGCAAGGAGAGAGGATAAACTGATATTTCTATCAGGTATCTGAAGAACAGCTCCTCCACATGCTGCTACATGTGCATGTTTACAGCAGATGCATGGTATCGATGTGGTATCCAAAGGAATGGATCCAGTGTTTGCTTGAGTGGGAGGCTGCCTGTGCAGTAGGGCTTGTGCAACCTGGCTCTTCTCCCCTGCTGCAGCCCTCTGCCCCATCCGCTCCAAAGAGTCCCCCAACCCTTTGGGGAAGATTTGGGGGAAATGTGGGGGACTGCAAAGGGAGAGAAAATCCATACCACCACCTGCCTGCCTTCTGCATGCGGGATGGTGCCACTGGCTGCAAGACTGTGCTGCATCTTTGTTTGAAAGGTGCTTCAGTCCAAGAGGATGCTTGGAATAAATATGATCCATATTAGGTCCTTGTTTACTGGGCACTAGCCTCTTTTCACCTTGCAGCCTTCTGGAGGAAGAAAGGGCAAGTTGCACCTTCTTGTCTCTCCTTCTGGAATGTTCTTATGCTACTGCATGAATGTGTGTGGCAAGGTGTTTACCTGTAAGCAAACAACCATGTCAGGATCATGCATCGGATTGCCTCTGAAGGGGGCTCCTTTATCAGAAGCAGAACTGCTGTCTGAAAAGGGCTGTGCTTCTTGTTTGGGGGAGGTAAGAACATTAGGGGAGCCCTGATGAATTCGACCATCCATCTAGTCCCGCATTCTGTTCACCCAGTGACCTGCAGGCTGCCCATGGGAAACCCACACACAGATGGGCGTTGAGAGTTGGACAGGGATGCAGGCTGCAAGAATGTTGGGTGTCTTGCATTTCTTTTTAATTAAACATGCTTTCATAATTCTGTCCCATGGATGTGCAGTGGATTAGAATCCAAAATAGCTTCTCATTCTTGTTGTTCTTTTATAAGCAGACACTGGGATCCATGGCCAGTGCTTCACCAAAGAGACACCATGAAAGATCCTCAGTCAAATTTCAAGGGCTTACCCAACTCATTTTGACTGATATGCTAGTTATTTGATCCCAGAAATAATCTTGCCACGGTCTTCCACAATTGCATTTATCTGTGGTTTGGACCTTCTGTGTAGTTTGCCAGCAACATTTATTCATGAAGAACTCTCTCTCTCCCCCCCGTCCCCCCCCCCCGTGTGTGTGTTTGTGGTGTGTGCATGCCACACACCATACACACATTCCTCACCCTGTTTTGCTGATCCCCATAAAGTATATATCCAGAGAGGGAGGTCATGGTGGGTTTTCTTCTGGGGTTCCCCATCTTCATCCTATTCTTTTGGATAAAAAATAATCTGTGAAGGTTGCATCTCCCTTGCCTAGTTTGTCCGTGGGGCTTTAATGGACAGTGTTTGTTTGCAGTGGGCTATTCGACCTGCCATTGGTGCCATGTGATGGAGCAGGAATCCTTCCAGAATGAAGAAATCGGTCAGATCCTGAATGACAACTTTGTCTGCATCAAGGTGGATCGTGAGGAGCGGCCAGATGTTGACAAAGTTTACATGACTTTTGTCCAGGTGGGGAGTTGGAACATGGCCCTGGCAGAACAGTTTGGAGAAAATTCTCCTCTGTGTGGATTTTGAGGAGAATCTGACAGGTCCTGTCACTTTTTCTGTAGGCGACCAGCAGTGGAGGCGGCTGGCCAATGAGCGTGTGGCTGACCCCTGATCTCAAGCCATTTGTAGGTGGGACCTATTTCCCCCCAGAGGATGGGATTTACCAAGTTGGATTTCGGACCGTTCTACTCCGCATCCTAGAGCAGGTACGGGGTTCAATATCCAGGATTATGTGATAGGCTGAGATTCCCACTGGACCAATACACCAGGGATCAAACCAAGTACCTTCTTGTGTCCGCCCTTACCTTTTATTTTGAAAGAAATATGAACTAATTTGGACATTCAGGTTTGGGACAGTGTGAATTAGGGAGAGACTAACTGTAGCATAATGAACAGGGAATTGTAATGTCACATGTGGTGCCACAGCAATAGGAATTTTGGGGGTAAAAATGATTCGCAATGTTCCCCTTCGTCTGTTTTTCGTCCTGGTGTCCCCCCCTGGGAGCACCTGGGAGCCCAGTGTGAATTCACACTATGTCCATGTTTTTTGGCTGTAGAACGGGTCTGCTGACCTTCCAGGCCCCGTGCTGATCTCAGGGCTGTGTGGGAGCTGCTGGGAGTGTTTTCTGGGAACAGCCAGGCAGAGGGCTCCCACCGCTGGCTGTCGCTCTGCTATCCTCTTCTCCATCATGGGCTTTTCACTTAGTGCAAAGAGGGAAGAAGTGGTGGGAAAAGGCAGGAAGTTTGTGGGGAGAGACATTGTCACTTGGAGCCCTTGTAAAAGTTCATGAGTGAGGCAGGCTGATGGCACGAGAAGAACCTCATCTGAAAGTATCGTCCCTGTGGTAATAGTAGCAGCAGTGGCTGGAATATCTGAGAGCCACTCGCTGGCTTGGGTCCCATTTTTGGATTCATATGTGGGAGGAAACCCTCTTCATGCTAAACCAGTGACCTTTTCTGAAGCATCCTAGCATGTTTTGCTTTGAATTCTGAAAGCTCCCTCAAAGCTCTGGGTGGGCCATTGGAATGCCCTTTTCTTTTAGGAGACCAAAAAGGATGTGGCAAAAGGCATAAGTGATTAAGAGTAACACTGTGACTTAGATGTCTTCTCCTTCTACCAGTGGAAACGGAATAAAACGGGTCTTTTGGAAAACAGCGAGAAAATCTTGTCTGCATTGTTAGCCAGGACGGATGTTGGTGCTCGAGGGGAAGAAGCCCCTCCATCTTCAAAGGAGGTGATGAGCAGGTGTTTCCAGCAGTTGTCAGAGTCTTATGATGAAGAATATGGTGGATTCTCTGAGTCTCCCAAATTCCCTACTCCAGGTTAGTCCAAGGTGGTCTCGTCAAGTCATTGCAGTGGAAGAGATGGGCAACTGATCTGGAATTGTTCTTTCGCTGTGTTCTTCTCTTGCAGTCAATCTCAGTTTCCTCTTCTCCTACTGGGCTCTTCATCGCTCAGCACCTGAAGGAGTTCGAGCACTTCAGATGGCACTACATACCCTCAAGATGATGGCATACGGTGGGATTCACGATCATATTGCCCAGGTAAGAAGGAACCAAACTTTGCACAGGCAGTTTCATCCAAAACATTTGTTTGGGACCTGCTATCTGGTCTCAGTTCCTGTACCCACCAGTTCCACCCCCTGCAAACATTAGTTTGTGACTCTTTTTCCCTTTGCCTTCCATTTTCAGAAGGTAAGAAAAGGAAAGCCAACCAATATATTGTTGTCCCGGAAGTATAGAAATGTTAACTGTATGTGTGAGCATTGCATTTTTAGAACGTCTAAGCTACATCAGAAGAAGAGATTCTTGAACAGCTTACAGACACTTTGTTGGATTAGCTCAGGGGTGGGCAACCCTCTTGCCCCTAAGAGTTGCCAGGTGCTTGCTGGCAGGTGTGGCCTGAGCCTCCACAGCATCTCCTCCCCCCACGGGTCCAACAAAAGATATTTTAATCTATTTTATCTGTCTCAGTGCACAGAGATAGTCAATCATGCAGTCGAAAATCAGGTGCAGGAGACCTAACTAGACTTTCAGCCAAGCAGAAACGATGTGGCACTTGCTTCTCCCCCTCTCCTGCAGGGGTTCCATCGCTACTCCACAGACCAGCGCTGGCATGTCCCTCACTTTGAAAAGATGCTGTATGATCAAGGGCAGCTGGCGGCCGCCTACGCCAAGGCCTATCAGGTATTCTCTCTGCTCGGTATCCTTCAGCCCGAGTTACACCGCAAAAGAACCGCGGGGCCTGGTGTGGCAGCCTGGGGAGACACTGGGGGGATTTCCGCTGTGGTGGGGAGCTGTGTTGTAACCACCTTCCACGCGTCTGCCTGGCGGGTCTCAGATAGACCAGGGAGGGGAAGTGTCAGGGTTCCCCAAGGCAAATAATACAGCCCTTCTTTTCCTGTGAATTCCCTGAACGTGGTTCGCTTTCCCCGTGTCTGGAAGTGGTCAGGCAGGTGTGCGGTGGTGGTGGTGGGGGCTCAGGCGGCTGCATCTGCGGACCATCTCTGTAGCAGCCTTGGAAGGCCAGAGCAAGGCCGAGGAGCCAGGGCCTGGGGTGGGGAGGGAGAAGTGCACCTGCCTCCCCATCTGGATCCTCCCGCTCAGCCCACAGCTTGAAAAAGGAGCTCTCATTGCCAGCTGGCCGAGAGAGGAGTTGACCCTCTTTAACCTCCTATTTTCCACTTGTCGCTGAGATGGCACCAAGGTAAGTGTGAATGGTTAGGTGAACGGAGGTGAGAGGCGACGCTATTACAGATGAGCACTTAGCCTCTCGAGCTCACTGCTCGAGTCCAGACCACGTGCTTGCAGGCACAGGGGAGGAGCGGGGCTGCAGGCTCTTTTCTGTGCTGCTCCTGGGCCACCTGTGGCAACCGAGGAAAATGGTGGCACAGTGTGCGAGGCTTCCTTCCTCCTCCTCCTCCCCGCAGTTCTTTTCAGCAGCCATGTGGCACCTCAGGAGTGTGAGGAAAACCGAGAGCAACACATAGGCCTTGTGCCATGTTGTGTGTCGTATGGAGAAGCTGGCAAGTGCAGAGCCTTGCTCGGCGGGGAGAGAGACGCGGAGCGGTTTGTTGGAGCAGAGGCTGCTGTGGTGGGTGTGCTCTGCCTTGGAGGGCATCCCCCCAGGACTGCTGCCAAAGCCGCCTTCCCTGGGCCAAGGCAGCTTAGAGGGCCTGCCTCTCCCAACTTCGCTCCTCACTCAGCGCCTCCCAGTGCCCTGAGCATCTCTGACTGCCACCGTGCAGTTCTTGCACAGCAGGGGCACCTGTGAGTGCTTCGGAGAGGGTGGGCCGCAGGGCAGGGAGATTTCGTTTCTGTTTCATCCAAAGGTGAACATAGAAACGAGGGAGTCAGAAGGGGCCTCCCGGGCCATCTCATCTGACCCCCGGCTCCAGCCGGCTCCGCTCACAACATGCCTGCCATGTGCATGTCCAGCCTATCCTTGAACACCCCCACCAATGAGGCCTCAACGACCTCCCGTGGAAGCCCATTCCACACCCTCGGGGTCCTAACGGTCAGGAAGTGCTTCCTGGCATCCAAATGGAACCTTGTTTCCCTGAGCTTGGCTCCATTGGAGCGCGTTCTGCCCTCCTCTGCAGGGGAGAACAGGTCTCTTCCCACCTCCGTATGACATCCCCTCACATACCTGTATGTCGCCAACAGATCCCCTCTGAGTCTCCTCCAGGCTGAAGAGACCCAGTTCCCTCAGTCTCGCCTCGTATCCTATCCCCTGCAAACCGGCCACCAACCTTGTGGCCCTGCGCTGCACCAACTTTAACCTGAATTGACTCCAGCCAGTGAAACTGCCTTAAATGGTGTCGCCCACCTTTCCCATCATGGCCGGGAGCCTTTGGAGGCTTTGGAGGCTTCAGGGGAGGAAGGACAGCCTTTCCCCTGACAGCTGCTCTGCGCAGCACAGGTTGCTCGCTTGTGTCTCTGCGGCTCTCTTGCTTCATTCATGACCACTGGAGTAATTTAAGAGCTTAAAAAATAATAACGGAGCTGCGCTGTGGAGCTTTTGAAAAGTCTGGAGACGGTTTAAAATGATGTTTTAAAGTTGGGCCAAGCTAAAAAGTATCTGGACTGTGTGGTGGCAATGGCAGAGCTTCAGAGTTTTTTGAAGAAATGCAGCTGCTGTATAACCAGATCCTGCAGCACCAACATTATAAGCGATTCCTGCTAATATGGGCTCTGCGACATGCCTGTTGAAGGTAGGGGTGCACCAGTGTTGTGAGTTGGCCGTCCCTAATTGAAACGGAAGAGGTGATGACCTTTCGTTACTGTCCTGCCTCCCTGGACTTATGTTAGAGGTGCTGAATCCCAGCCCAAGGGCCAAATCAGGCTGTCCAGGAGTCCCAAGTCAGCTAATCCTTGGGTGGCCCTTCTCCCGGCCTGGCCTCCTGGTGCCTGACTACCAATCACTTGCTGCTTTTCTAGCTTTTGCCTCCCCCACATTCTTTAAAACACTCTCTCCTGATATCAAAATCCCCCTCCTAAAGCTTAATTACTGACAATAAGAGCTTTAATCCAAAATAGGCTTGGTTTTTGTTTTTGTTTTCTCGCTCCTCATTTGCCTTCCACCTCCCCCACACTGGAATGAGCCCCCCAAGATTCCTCCAAAATTGTATTTGCTGCCCACCTGAACAGAGAAGGGCACAAGGCTACTGGCTTTTACCGTACTGCATGAATCCCTTCAGTGGCGGCCTGTGCCTGCCTCCAGTCCTCCTTCGTTTCTGTGGAAGGCAGGGCCTTCCCTGCCGCTCCCCTGCAAAGCACCTTCCTCAAAGCGTTCTGGTTTCTTCCACTGAAACCCTCCAGGGAGCTGTGGATAATTTTATTTCCCCGGGCTGTGTGGGGGCTAGGAATCGAGGCAGGCCTTGCTTTCTTTTGGACTCCCTGTTGCAGCCGTGTTCTCATGAGCTGCTTTGTTCTCCTCTGTCCCCCCCCCCCCCACCAGTGCAAAACGGTGTGTGCCTGAGTTTGGGTGCCAGTTGCTTGGAAGGCCCTTTTGAGGCAGAAGGCACATCCGGGGGATAAACGCCCGGGCAGAAACTAAGAGATCCCTCTCAGCGAGCGTCACAGCTAAGAGGGAGGAGCGTTGTTACGATGAGCGGCCATTCTTCTTTCCAACCCTCGTCTGAATTGCCAGTGCCAGGCTCCCAGGATGCAGTCCAAGGACCGGCACAGACTGGAGCAGTGCGGGAAGGGAAGGGGAGTGGAGTGTCGCTTGTGGGCAGGATGCACACACGATAGGACACGAGATCCTGCGTGTGTCCCCCGGTTTCGGGACCCTCAACGGCTGCACCCATGTGGCTGCCGCTCGTTCCCGCACTGACAGTGGGAAATGTGATTGCCTCCAAGGCACGGGACCAAGGAGAGGAAGCATGTCCCTGCAACTGGCACCTGTCCATTATTCCCTGGGCAGTGTCAGCACGCGGGGGGCTGAATGACCCGGGCGTGAACCGTCCTGGTGCTCCGCCGTTCCATTTTGGGGCACGCAAGGCATGTGACGACGTAAATTGAAGCCACAGCTAGGCCCTGTCGGCTCCCATTCTGGGTTGCCAGCCTCGCACCGGCATCCTCCCTTCCTGCACCACAGACACATTCATTGGCCCCTTAAATCAGAAGCCCTCAAGACAACATTGGCTTCCTGCAGCTTAGAAATGCGTAGGCCTGGGGACAAAACAGCACAAAGATCAGTGCATGTGTGGGGAAAAGTTCAACTCTCTTCTCCACGTGTTTTCTCCTGCTCTTTTTCCCATGGGGAAAATGTGCAAGGGGGGGGGGATCATATATCTCCAAGGTTTCCCACCCTGCACCATTTTCTCCCAAGCTTCCAACGTCTGTTCTAGGATTCCCCAATCTGGTACCCTCCAGAGTCCAGATATTTTGGACTTGCTCTCCCATCTGCCCCATGTAGCATGGTTAGGAGTCAGGAAGTTGTAATCTCAGTCAACCGGAGGCTGCCAAGTCGGGGAAGGATGGCCCGTTCCATTTTTCCTCTTCTGCTGTGCCGTCATCTTCGGAGTAAAATCCCCCTCGTGTCTTAAACAGATTTCTGGCGATGAATTATTTGCCGACGTTGCGGCAGACCTTCTGTGCTATGTCTCCCGGGACCTGAGTGACAAGGTAAGCCACCACCCCAAGTCCCCAAGTCTTGCTCGGCCGCCGTGAGGTGAAGGATGCCAAACCTCAGGCCTGGGGACTAGCTCCAGTTGGCTCCTTCCCCTGCCACTGAGGCTTTGGTGGCCCCCTGGCTCTTGCAGAATGTGCCCCTTTTGGAAAAGTTTGAAGTACTTCTAAGGATTGGTTATGGGCTTCAAGCTACCATATTTTGGTATTTGGGGACTGGCCCACTTTTCTTCTGGCTTCCCCCACCTCTGACACCCTAAGTGGAAATGTGGTGCTTAGACTCAGGCAGGTCCTGCGCACCTGCTTTACATCCTGGTTGGTCTATGAGTTGTCAGTTTCCAGCTGGCGAGGACGCACAGGAAGTCAGCTGGATCCTTGACTGTGCCTGTCTCCTTGGCTGGAAATAATATGACAGCAGCACCTCCTTCCACCAAGCAGCAAGTGCCTCTTCCTGTCACTCCTCCCCGTGCATTCAATATGGCACGGCAAAAGTCACAACTTGCGCACGTCTGCGCTGGAGCAAAGAAACTGAACTGGCTTTAAAGTTCAGCATCCATGAATGCTTTAAGGTACTTCAGAGATTTTACTGGCCGGGAGTACAGTTAGAACATGCAGCATAAAACGCGTTAACATTTTAAAATGTGAAAATGTGGTGCACCCTTTGCATGTAGGTACCTATAGAGTGAAGTGTACCTAAATGACTAGCACTTGCAACATTAAGAACGCCTCCCCAGCTATCTGAAACTTTGTCCAACTTCTTCAGTTTGATCTGATGGAGCTCGTGCTTTTTGCCACGCAGGCCTAGTCCCAGGTCTCACCTGCCCTTCTTTAGCAACTGGCATTTTCATGGGCTTTCCACATTTGGCAAAAATTAGTCTTGATCACAGTTACCACATACAAGATCAGCTCTCTGTCTTTATACGGCCATCTATTGTAAACATATGTCATTGGAATGATGATGGTGTGGAATAATTATGACCTCTCTTAGTAGTACTATTCTGTTTATGTATGAGGTATTCTATTTGCTATTTCTGTTTGCCTGACTTGGGGGGCATCTGAGACATGCGCACGACACAGAAACTGTTCTTTGTCCACTGTATGTTCCGTGGCCTTGGATCTGAGCAGACTTTTGAAGCTTTTCCTGGAATTTTTGAAATTGCTCCTTAAAGAAAAAGAAAAGGTTGGGTTGCAAGCTGGATTCCTTGCTGTGGGGCAGGAGTGCTACCCTCCAGCCTGGTTCCCAGCCAGGAGCCCTCTGTCTTGCTGACATCACCCTTTGCTGACGGAATGGGCCGGCGTCCTGGTGCTGAAGGGCATGCCTAACCGAGCTGCTTTCGTTTTCAGTCTGGGGGGTTTTACAGTGCAGAGGATGCAGATTCCTACCCCACTGTCCAGTCAGAAGAGAAGCAAGAAGGGGCGTTCTGTGTGTGGACCGCTGAGGAGATCCGGTGGCTCCTGCCAGACCCCATTGAAGGGATTCCAGAGAAAAAGACCATGGCAGATGTCTTCATGCATCACTTCGGCGTTAAGGAGGGTGGCAATGTGAATCCACTGAAGGTACAGCGGGGTGAGATGCGGCCGGGGTGGGGGAGCCGTGCCTCTCGTCGGCAAGGAAGTCACGGGCTCCGTCGGGGAGGTGCCTTCGATGTCTCTGCTTGGATTAGGGCTGCACTGCTTAGGCCCACTTCGGGGCCCTCCAGATGTGCCGGGCTGCAACTTGCAGCGCCCGCAGCCAGTCAGGTGGGAATCCTAGGTGGGACAGCTAGTAGGCATCCTGCTGGGGAAGGCTGCAGTGCTCCATCTGAGCACAACTGTGCTGAGAGGATGAGCGCACTGCCTGACTGCCAGGCGACTGCCTCCCGGAGAAGTTTACCAACGAAAACAGGACGGGCCTTTTAGAACTCTCCAGCTTACAAGCCACTTCCGGACCCGAATTTGTTTCACTCCAGGCAACACCCTGAGAATGTGTGAAGAGGCACGTTCCATTATGCAGGGGAGCCGAGGCTTTTGCTCACGGGAAAAGAGGACTTCCTGGCTCCAGTCAGAGCATTCTCCTATTTCTCCCCGCTGCTAACCCTGCTTCCATCTTTTACCCTGTGATCGGGCGTCCTGCCACGGCAAAGATAACATTAGCTTCACTTTAGATGAATAAGTCATTCATTAATCAAAACAACCAATAATGCCACAGACCTGTTAAAAGTTGCTTCTCCCTAGCCCTGCCCTGTCTTGGAACGCAAGCTCACCTGAGCATCTCTGCTTGCTTTGGCTCCAACCGCCAGGTGGGTTGCAGAAAAGACAGAAGGGCGAGGCTGCAGGCAGGCTGGTCATCAGGTCTCGGTTCAAGCTCCTACAAGCCTGCACTTTGACTCTTCGGCTTGCCCTGTCTTGATTCTCCTTGCTCCTGCCTGGTCTCTCTGCCCTTGGCATTCCACCAGATCCGGTTCTACCACCCACATCCAGGCTTGTCCCCTGGAGTGACACATAAGCTGGGAGGCAGATAGCCAGGCTTGAAGGTTAAATGGGGCTTGGAGGAAAATCCTCTTGCTTATCTGATCGTTTGAACAGAGGAAAGGGAAAAGACAATGGGTTTGGTTTTAGCACCAGTGCATTGCAGCTTGGGTTGTCGCAGCAAGCTGGGCCAGTGAGTGAGTCCAGGGTAGTCCAAATCACGGGCTCCTAGGAGGGGCCTAGAGAGGTGGTGGGCAACACTGGCCTACTTTCCTTCTGTGTTTTGTTTTGCTTCAGGACCCTCACAATGAGCTAAAGGGGAAAAACGTCCTGATCGTGCAGTATTCCCTGGAACTCACAGCTGCCCGGTTTGGGCTGGAGCTGGAACAGCTGAAGACGCTGCTCATTAAGAGCAGGGAGCGACTGTATAAGGCACGGGCCCTGCGGCCCCGGCCTCACCTGGACTCCAAGATGCTGGCCTCCTGGAACGGTGAGGCTTCTCTTGCGGGTCCCCTCGTGCCGAACTCTGCACTCTGTGCAGTGAGTGCATGTGTGGGACTCCGTGGGAGGCTGCCACATAGGCCTGGAGGCGGGTCAGGGTGGGCAAGGACAGCCGTGTAGCCCAGGCGGGCCCTTCCCTGACAGAGCTGTCAGAGGGAAATGACATCAGAATGGTTTCCCTGTTGCTGGAGGAACAGCCTCTGCCAGGACCAAGGTGCGCCACTGTTTTCTTCCTCATCCTCCTGCCCTTTATGTATTTTTCTGACTCTTGAAATACACTATTAGAGCAAAGCATTTTTTTTCCTCAAAGTGTTCCCTATTGCACCAGCAGGGGGCAGCAGCCCCTTTCTCCTGTTGTTCCTCACAGGCACTTTGGAGAGAATGCACCTTAACCTGTGCAGCTGAATGTCAGCTTGGTTTTCCCATTATATAAACACACGGGCTTGTCTGCCGCTACTGAGCGAGGACACCAAAGTGTGAAAAGCCTGGCCCTCTTGAGAATGCATTGCTTGGCAGATTGTTCTGGAATTTTTGGGAATTCTATCAGGAATGGTTGCAAGTGCCAGCTCCCCTTTAATAAATAGTGGGGGGAGGGGGTAGCATTTGTAGCCCATTGGGCTGTCCTTGGCTGAAGGCAAGCGATCCTTCCAGAAATGTAGTCACGGCTTCTACCATCCTGCCCCCAAGTTGTCGAGGAATAGTTCTGTGCCCGCCTTCTCTTTCCCTGGTGAAAAGTCTCCTCATCGGGGTAGGAGACTATGCCAGTGTGGGAGGTCCCCAGTGGCAAGGGATTCCGCCTCTCCTCGCCCTGCCTCTAGGGCGTTCCTGAGAGCTGTGCAGGATGCAGTCCTTTCTGTGGGGAGGGATGACCCAGTGCCGGCTGACTTGTCTCCTGTGTTGGCTGAACATTGAGAGAACGCAGCTTTTTCCTGAATGCTTCACGAATGTGAATCCCACAGAGCCCTGGCCAGCGCTTTCCCTCTCCCTCTCCCTCTCCTAGGCCTGATGATCTCCGGCTTTGCCCAGAGCGGAGCCATCTTGGGCAGGGAGGAGTACGTTGAGCGGGCTGCATGCGCGGCTCACTTCCTGCGGAACCACATGTTCAATGCCGACAGCGGGAAGCTGCTCAGGAGTTGCTACCGGGGCCAAGGCGACTCCGTGGAAAAGAGGTGAGCAGCCTGCCGGGCTGTGCAATGTGGGGGGGGGGGGAAGTGGGCTGGAGCTGGGGCAGGGCGGAGGGAGCGGTGGAGTGCTTGCTTCACGTGAGGGAGGTCCCAGTTCGGTCTCCATGGGAAGGTAGGAGGGGGCAGGAAAAGCCTTTTTCTGCCGACGTCCCGGGAGAGCTGCACCTAGCCAGGGTAGACAGGCACTGGGCTAGAATCTGGCCTAGGTGTTGGTAGCCTAAGGCTGGCAGGCCAGGTCTGGTTCCCCTGGAATCCTGGCTTCCTCTGTTCCTCAAAGGGCCAAGCCCCTTCTCGGGTGACCGCGGATTGCTTGGTGGCCTCCCAGCTTTTGTGCAGTTTTTCCTCTCGTTCCAAAAGATTGAAAAGCCTCTCTTAAAAGCTGTCGGCAAGGTTTGAGCTGAAAGACGCCGGTGCTTTTGGCCTTGCCCCTTCTTGCTTGTGGCTGTGCCACGCCTGAGATGTGGCCCCCGAGAGCTTTTCCCAAATGGAATTCAGTCCTTGGGCTGGAAGAGGCCCTGCTTCCCCAGCCAGGATCTTGCTGCAAGGTGGGCAGCTAGTTTGGCCTGGAAGGAGAGCAGCTTTCATGGTGCCCACAGAGAGGTGTGTGGCCCCACATTGCCCCCAGGGGAGCCACAGCCTTGCCATGTCTGGGCAGATGCAAAATGAAGCCAGGCACAGCAGCCAGCTGCATGCAGGGTGATAGCCTGTCCGTGGGCATCCTGTCACCCACACACAGCCGGCCGGCTGGCTGCGCATCTGGAGGAACATCTGCATTAAAAGTGAGGTCTGTACCGAAAGAGCCCATCACATGCACGCGCATGCGCAAACACACACGCACCTATTGCAGCGGGGCTGGGACCCTTTTAGCCGGAGGGCCAAATTCCATCCTGGAGAAGCTCTTGCTGGCTGTGTGCCCATGAAAGCTGGGTCCAGAGGCAAAAGGGACAGGGCCAAAAATGCCAGAGTGCTTGTTATTGCAACCAAGGCTTTCAACTTTTTAGAATGGGGTAGGGAGGAAAGCAAGCTATGCGAAACCCGGGGAACCACCAGACAGGTGCAAGGGGCTGAGGCCAGGCGAAGGGCATGTGCCCGGCTGGTGAACCCGGGCAGGCTGCCTCCAGGCCTGCAGCTTCGCACCTTTGCATTCCGGTTTACGCTACCGGAGTGGACACACGTGAGTGCACAGGCGCTGCAGTGGTGCCAGCCTTCACTGTCCCTATGAAGGGACAGCCCCTTGCACGAGGGAGGCTTCTGTATCTCCTGCTCTCCACGTCAGCCCAGTGGACGCTTCCTTGGCCCTGGCTGATTCTGCAGAGGTTAGTGGATGTCAGGCTTATGGCAGCAAACGCTTCAGAATCCCAGGCCAACCCTGGTCCTTGCCTAATTCCTTCTCAAAGTCAGCTCTTTGAACAAGCACAAATTAAGCTTGCGTCAACAACAATAAAGACAACCGGAAGAAGAAGCAGGGTGATTTTTCTGGCTGCTTAATGCTAGTGAGAGCTCTACAGCTGCCTCTTCCGTGTCGGGTCAAACTTTGCTTAAATAACTTAGGAATGTTAAGTGGTGGGAGAAAGGATGGAGGGAGGACCTGATGGCAGGGGCAGAGGAAGGTATCGGGAGGCAGCTTTTTAGGTTAAACTGACGTTTACAGCCTACTTTTTCAAGCAGGAATGCTCTGCTCCTGAGCTAACACCAGTAGTAAACTACTTCACTTATGCAGTGTTTGCATGGCTACTTTGGTGGCACTTGAAGTACTACTGTTCCTTTTTACCCCCACGTTTGGAAGAATATATTGGTCCTTGCCTTAAGTCAGAGTCTGTGGAGGTCTCTGTCTTTGAAAAGCGTGTCGCTACTTCACTCTTTCTGCCTAGAAAAGCAGAAACTCCTGCACTGTATCCTGCAGCTGCCCATTCTCTTTCAAGCAGCCCACAAGAAAGAAGAGTCAACTAATTCTTTCTTTCTTTATTTTTGAATATTAGACACTGCTTTTCCATTAAAAAGCCTCACAGCATCCAAAATTTATTAAACAGGATGGCTTTGTCCAGCATCAGACCCTGCACAGCTAGTTTCTGATGTTGGTGGAGGTCAGTTTCCAGAACAAACCCTGTTGCTCTCCCAAATCTCATTTTTACCATGACTTGAGAGAGAGCGAGCACCAAAATTGCAAGAGCCAAAGAGACAGATGTTCTACCTAGATATTGGAGGATGTATCCTTCTCTGTTGTTGGACTACATGTTGAACCAACCAGTCAATATACAGGAGCTTTTTCCAGATAGTTGACGATCCAGTGGGTGGGGACCCTGTCCTTCTGTAGGGCACATATGGAAGTTCTAATCCAGCACATCTGGAGGGCAGCACTTTGGAGAAGGCAGCTTGAACTCATGAACTCCATTTGTTTGTTTGTTTGTTTGTTTGTTTGAACATTTCTATGCCGCCCCTTGCCGAAGCCTCGGGGCGGCTTACAACACAATAAAATACAATAAAATACAAAAATAACAATATAAAATTAAAATTAACAATATAAAATAAATAAAAAATATAAAAGATATAAAAGAAGTTAAAAGAAAAGAAAAGAAAAGAAAAGAAAAGAAAAGAAAAGAAGTCGCCCTGGCCAGATAAAATGACCGTTTTATGACCGCGTTTCTTGCAGTTCAGTCCCCGTCCAGGGTTTCCTTGAGGATTATGTCTTCGTGATCCAAGCACTCTTCGATCTTTATGAGGCCTCGCTGGATTCGAGCTGGTTGGAGTGGGCTGTGCAGCTGCAGCACAAGCAGGACGAACTCTTCTGGGACCCAAAGGGCTTTGCCTACTTCTCCACGGTGGCTGCCGACCCTTCCTTGCTTCTGCGCATGAAGGATGGTACGCGTCCCTCAGAGGCAGGAGTGTTGGGCATCCGGGACTGGGAGCAGGGGGCAGCTTTAGCAAAGCTTCCTGTTTCAGTGCCACGCTATGTACTAGATTCAGGCATGCAACAGACTTTTGTGCCAAGTAACTGCTGGATGCGGAGATGCCTAGTGGCCCCTAGTGGGCACTGGTCTCTTGGTCCATGGGACCTGCGAACAGGCTCCTGTGCTGGTGCTTCGGGATCCTGCAGGGTTGCTTCTGAGACTGGCTCAGAAACAAACTCCCGGGGTTCCCAAAAGCCCACCTCAAAGAGGCAGCGCGCTTGCAGGATCCCTGATCTTGCTGGGATCAGGGTCTGCCTGAGAGGGCTCCCTGGATTCCCACCAGTTCCCGAAAGTACTCTTCCCATCACCTGTATTTAGCTCCAAGCAGGGAGGCCTCAATAGCAGGCTGAGGGGCGAAGGAAGCCTTTCCCTGGGCTGCTGGGAAGCCTGCAAGGCTCACACACTGCTCCTCTTTCCTCCCCTCCTGCTTGCCACTACTGATTTTGCTACCCTCCCATGCTTGGAGCTACGCAGGGAGAGCCACCGTCTTGATGGGCAGTTCAGGTTCCCTAGATGGCCATGTCCTCTTCCCCAGGAACAGACTGGCTGGTTTCTGATTTTTAGGTTGAACAGGTCTCTTCATTTCCCAAGCCAGCCCAAGAACTGCCAGTTTCAATTACTCTGAAATTCAGTGTCCACAGCAGGTCTGGTCCAGTGCCAAAGAGCACTGGTCTAAGAAATGGGTTGGCTAATAGGTTGAGGTTGAGTGGCGGACTGAAGGCAGGGCAGTGCGTTGGAAGGGAAGGAGAAGTTCTTCACCTGCTCCACTGTCACCCCAGAAATAGTCATGCTCCCCAGTCTTGAGGCCTTGAGCCATCCACCACATCCATCGCTGAGAGCAGGCGCCTGGTTCCCCGTTGCTCTTCTGCAGCCACAGGCACTGGGGAGAGATGTGGAAGCGCTGGCACTTTTTGCCACCCACATCAACCAACACATGCTTTGCATCTTTCTGCAACTGAATGGTTATTAAACCCAGAGGTCCCTGCCTGTAAGAAAGATGTCCTGAATGTTTTCCACCCAAGTTTTTTCCAGAGGGAAAATTGTATTGAAGAAAAGCATCAGTGGATGGATTTTCCTTATGAAGAACAACTGTTCTTTATTATTTATTTTTATTTATTAACAATATTTATACCCCGTCCTTTATGAGACATCCCAGGAGGGCTTACCACAATAAATAGCAACAACAACAAATCTTCTGTAAAGATTTGCACAGCAAATCATGGCTCAAAGGAGTTGTTTTGTGTGTTGCTCAGGGCAGTGGTTCAAGCTCCCAGGCATGCCCACGGGCCTGATAGAGTTGGAGAGCCGTTGCCCTTGGTGAGGTCTGTAGGTGTGGACCAGAGCACACTAGGTGCCCTCCAGGAGGGAAATGCTGGTGGGCCCTTTCCCAGCATGCTCCTCTCTTTCTCCACGCGGTGTCGCTGCAAGGGCCATCTTTTGAGGTGAATGTGTGGCGTCCGGCCGTTGGGAGAGGCCTGCCCAATCCCCAGCACCTCCCCTGCTCCAGTTTCCAGGCTTGACAGACGCAAGTGCCAGGATTGCTTGAGCCTGGCGTGAGGGCCCGCTGTGGGGACGTGAAGCGGGCAAGCTTCTCTTCTGGCTGAAGCAGACTGGCACACACGTGCTGGGGAGGCGGGCGGGTCTGGCTCTTCAGCAGGCCTGCCTTGCATGTGCATTTGTCACATGCGGTGCTTTAGGTCACATGAGCACATTCACAGCTTACAGGCTGTCAGGGTTTGACACTGAGTAGAATGCTGTGCTTTGCAGGAGGTTAGTATATGTACATGTGGTATGATGCTCTTTGACTCTTGGCGCGGTTGGGTGAGCTGCTTGGGAGCAGTTGGATGATAACAGAGAGAGATACGGGAGAGCATACAATTCAGGTCGAGAAGCAACTTTCTAACTTGGGCCATGATCCCTGGGTCCTGTCTTAGTCTTGTTTCCTGAGAAGTGAGCCTCTTTGAGTTTAGTAGGACTTATCCCCATATCTGTGCATAGGATTGCAGCTTTATTGATATCTAGGCACCATGGGTTTTGGAAAGAAAACTTGTGGATGCAAGTTACATGAAATATTTCCAAGTCAAGATGCCAACCTAAGATGCCATGGCCATGGGCAGGTGATCTTTGCCCTTGATGTTGTATGAATTTGCGGGGGGCAGGGGAATATGTCCCCTTGGTAGCAGAACAGGTGCTCCTGAACCTCAGTCTTCCCAGTGGGCAGCAGAGTATTCTTCCCTGTCCTCAAGGGAAGACAAGTCAGCCCTTTATTCTGGGCCCTTCTAGCTGGAGGATGTAGTCCTACTATTGCCATTGGTCTTGGAAGTTCTGTTGAACATTCGTCCTCTGTCTTCAGGTGAGGACCCTTTAATGGGCCAGTCTGTTTTTCCAGGACTGGTCAGCCTACATATGGCTTGGCTTTAGCTCCCTGCTGAGATAGCATCCTCCTATTGTCCCAGCAGGAGGGCGTTCTAGCCAACAGGAACCACTTGGAGCTATCTAAGGTCTTACTTGCTTCTTTCCTTGTTCTGACTGCTATCAGATGCCACTAGTTTCTCTTGTGAGACTCAAAGGACCACAGAACAGGACACTGACTGTTGGTTGTTTTACCCACTTTTAGATCAAGATGGTGCCGAGCCCAGTCCCAACTCCGTGGCTGCCACTAATTTGCTCCGGGCGGCCAGCTACACCGGCCACAAGGAATGGGTGAAGAAGGCTGGGCAGCTGTTGGCTGCCTTCTCAGAGAGGCTGCTGAAGATCCCCGTGGTTCTCCCAGAGATGGCCCGAGCCACTGCAGCCTTCCACCTGACACTCAAGCAGGTATTTTTGTGGGTTCAGTTCTCTTTCTTCATGTGGAGCCCTGAGACGGACAATGCTGCATGTGAGATGTTGACTTTAGATTGTTAAAAGAAGACGAGAAGCAAGGATGGGAGTTGCCATCTGTAGAGTTATTAGATCTCCATCTCTCTCAGTGATTTTCTTTACAGTTTTAATTGCTTTATCATCTTATGGTGACACCACTGGCACAGTGCCTTTGGGACCTTCTCATTCTCTGCTTCTGTTACCCAGAGCAAGAGTGCAGAACCTCAAGCCTGGAGGCTGCATCTGGCTTTCCAGGGTGCTCACTAGCCCTCACGGCTTCTCCAGAGTACCACAATCCCTTTTCCTGTGCAATCAATCATTTGGTGGTTTCCCCGATTCTGCCCCCTGATCCATTGTAAAAGTTTGAAATGCTTCTCTTAGGGCTTGGTGATGGGCATGACGGGCCTTAAGCCGAAGCATGCTGATATTTTGTCCCTGCCCCTTGGCTCCCTCTTGCTGCGTGTCCACAGTTGAATTTGGCCCCCAGGTTGAAAGAGGTTCGCCACCGATGGCTGGGAAGGTGACAGAACATGCCATTCCTTCGTGAGCTGCTAAAACGGTTCCAGAACTGGCATTCAGGATCCTGAGTTTGCCTCTACCCTTTGCATGTCCCCGACCTGCAGAGTGGTCGGTGGATATTCTTGAAGTGAGAGTCCTACAGGCCACCTGCAAGGCGGAGGAGAGGGCTGCCTCCCATTTGCGGTGGCGGAAGGTTGCCATTGTGGTTTTAGTATTTAGTATTCAGCCTTGCCTGAAGGGGAAGGGAGGGGCAGAGTTCCTTGATCTTTCCTAATAAGGGCATGTAATGGATCTGGTTCAGTCAATGAAGAAGCTCAACAGGTTCAGTCCAGAAAGGGCGCAGGCTCCTTGTGTGCACACGCTGAATCCCCTCTCGCATTCAGGCAGAATTTGGCTGGAACATTTCTCCCTTTGTTGAACTTTGCCTCTCTGGAAGGTTCTGGTTGTGTTTTGCTCTTTCTGGAAGACTCAAATTATGTCCCCCTTCTCTCTTATTCCCCGACCAGGTTGTTATCTGTGGTGATCCCACAGGAGAAGACACCAGAGAGCTGCTGCACTGTTACTATTCTACCTACACACCTCACAGGGTAAGCCCCACGCACGAGCACCAGGTCCTCCAGGCAGCAGGCACCACAAGGTCAGGCCTGAGGAGCAAACTGATGGATGGCTAGAGAAAGGCCGTGCCAGTAAAGGCAGGTATTCGCAGAGGACTGGGCAGAGGAGGCAGAAGCTCACATACATGGTGGCTTTTGTGCAAGGCTCATTTCCAAACAGACAGTCCTGGCAGCGGTGGGGGGTCGGGGGGGGGCAGTTGAATGAGGAGATCAGGGCACACCAAGAACTGGAGGCAGGCTCAAGATCTCAGGGATCAAGTAGGCATGCCAGGAATTGCCGGGAGATGCTGCTTGTGTTTCCTTGCTCAGTGGCGAGTTTTTTGTGGATGGGCAACTCTTCTTGTTGGCTAAAAAAAGGAGAGGTGATAGTGGGACAGTCCTATAAAGGTCTAGTTCTCTAGGTTGCCAACTAGAGGAGTAAGCAAGAGCCAACGCATGGAAAAGGATCGACACGTTCTGCTACTAGCGTGACATACAGCTAAGCGTAGTCTCTCTTGTATCCCTGGGGTAAGTGTGTGTGGCCCTTATTCAGATCAGGATCACTGCTGGCCTGGAGGGGAGGGTTTACCCTTCCCCACTTTCCCCCATGCAATTCCCCTCCCCATGGGGGCACTGTGTTAACAGAGAAGAGGAACAGAGCCTCCATGTGAAATGTTGGAGATTTTTTTCTTTCTTCAGCCCACCCACAAGTGGGGAGAGTTTGATGGGAATCGGTGCTGGTCCGGAAGGTCTGATTCCACCCTTCTGGGGCATGGTGGTCCTAGTCTGAGTCGAGGCCATGTACATGTATTTGTGTGCATGCCCATGTGCGTGCATGCACATCTATATCGCCTTGGTTCTATGCTCCATGTTGCAGTCTTGTGTTGCTTGACCCCGAGGCTGGCTTCTTGGCCTGGGCGCCCACCAGTGCTGCTCCTGCAGACCCACCTCTGAGGTGGAAAGCCCCTCCTGACACCCTGAAGGGGCTCTCCTTCCCTTTGTGGGAGACATTCCCTTTCTCGAGCATTCCCTTCCCTTCTGGCTTCCTCTCTTCCTCTTTTCCAAGGTGAAGGCTACAGCATCCCAGTGGGTGGGTCTCTGTGTCTAGCGAAAGCAATCCCAGCATCTTTCTCTTTTGAGCCCCTTCCTGGGAAATGGATGGTTCCGGAAGTTGCTCTCGAGCTCGTCTCTTCCTGCACAGGGCTCTCAACTCTCCCTCCCCTTTTGGGAGAAGCACTTGTTACGATGAATGGTGTTTGCCCAGCTGCCACCCTTGGACTGGCGAAGAATCTGCGTTTGTGGAGCTGACACAGATTCCATGTGGAAATGCTCTGTTTTCTGAGCAAAGCGAACTGTCTGGGTGACTGCAGGGAAAATGTTGACTGCAGCGTTTATTGAGCCCCTCTAGAGAGAAAGGGTGAGAGCTGCAGTTCAAATGCATCAGGCTAGGGGCTTACTCTGCATCAGCTTGTTGATCTAATTGTGGTTTGTATTAGCCAGGATCTGTCAGTTTTTCACTTCCTGCTGCACGTTTGCCACTGCACTGATTCCTTCTGTGCCAAAGAAAGAAAAGAAAAAGTTCAAATTTGGCTTGAAGGAATCTCTCCTCTGTATATTCTGTATATTGTCTGATTTGTCTGGAATGCAATAGCTGGCGTTTCTTATCATTCATTTTATTTTGCCAGCGATCTGTAGCAGGGGCAAGAGGAGGTGGTAAAGGCAAGAGGAGGTAGTAAAGGTAGTAAAGCTATTTGGGGTGATGCAGATGGGGTGGGATGGGAAGAGAAGCTGAGATCTGCCGAAAGGAAAGCGTTGAGTAGCTGGGTATTTTCAAGAGCCCCTCGTGTATCGAACTCTGTGTATGTGTGGAAAGGCATGTCCTGTTTCTTGGCTTCATAGGAGCTTTGCGCTCGGATATTCATTGTACTGAAATCCTCGCTGCAGTTCTGAAGCCTGGCACTTGTTCTCAAGGACTGGGTGGCATTTTCAGCAGAGTGCATCCCGCCACATCGCACAGGCTTCGAGGGAGCTGGTAATCCTCGGCAGTGAAGCGCCTGGAGAAATTATAGCTCGGAGAGGCATTGCAGCTGCCAGGCATATTTTGGAACTGGCACGCATATATGGGGGAATTAAATACGAGGCTTGCAAGGTTAGGCAGTTTGGCCCCCCGTGGGGCTTTCTGGCCAGTAGCACTGAGCTCCCCTGGCACAGGCAAGCAAGATGGAGTGAGTGGATGGGCAGCAATCCCGAAACTTTTGCACAGTGTGCTTTTCCATGAGGAATTGCAGACTAAGGGAGCATTGTATTTTGGATTCCTGATGCCTGAATCCTACTGGAGGATCGCCCACAGGCAGGCACCTTCCAGCATCCCTGTATGGCTTGGATGTTTTCTGCTAATTGTGGAAGTTTCTCCTGCCTCCTTTAAATATGTTGAGCCAGTCCCCAGAGCAAGAGCGGACAACTTGCAGCCTTCTGGATCCTTTGGCCTAGGACTCCCATGTTCCCCCACCATGGGTGATGGGAGTGGAGGCTCTCCGGATGCTTTGGCCCGCAAGTTGCCTCCCCTTGCCCTAGCACTGGCTGTCCTGTCAGTTTAGTGTCCCTGAGTGTTGGTCCTTCCCTCTAGAGAGAAGCAGCATTCCTGGGGGTTCTCCCAAAGGCCTGGCTGTGGGGAGGGAGAGGCTGCAGTTGCTCAGCTTGTCTGGCTGCTGGAGAGGGGGTCTCTTGGAAGGCAGTGTGTGTTCGCAGCGTGGCGGCTGCCTCCCTCGGAAGCTGTGTCGCTTGGTAGGCTGCCTCCACCTGCCATTGGCTCTCAGCTTGCTTACTGGAGAGGAGGCCCAGTTGATTGAAGCTGGGAGGGAGAATGAGGGAGGAAGCCGGTGGCTGAGGATGCCTCTCCGAAGTATATCGCCAAAGGTCTGGGCTCCGCAAGCAAGCTGCAGGAGCCCATGGCCCTGCCTGTTCGGGTCCCGTCGTGTCAGTCAGACAGATCTATTCATGGCATTGGAGGCATGTCCTTCCAAGGCACTGTGTCAGGAGCCTTTGCACCCCACCTCCGTGCGGAGCAGTATCCTGACAAACATGCTTTTGCTCCTTTCTCTGGGGCTGCCTTGCATGTGTGTGTCAAAATTTTCAGCAGGCAGGAGAATGAAGTTTAAGGTGCGTCTGTAGCTGGTGAACCACCCACCTTTCTGGTTGCTGTCTCATTGAGATCAAGACCCATTACTAGTGCAAACAGGTCAAATCAGCCCCCATTGAAGGGAGAACTTCATCCGGCTTCTTCTTGTGCCAGCTGTACTCTCTCAGCCTAATCTACCTCTTGGGCTTGGTGTGAGGATAAAGCAGGATAAGCTTTGAAGTGTGTGTGTGTGGTGGGGGGAGAGTGGAAGAGAGAGAGATCAGAACTCGCCTACACTGTGTTGCAACTGGAACTTTTCTCCTGAGTCCACCTGGGATGTGTGTGGGAGGGATCCTTCTTGTAGGGCCGGCCTGGCTAACCCTTCCCATCACCATCCAGGGTGGGCCTGATAAAAATTCTCCCTCATCCCAGTGTAACAGAGAAGATCTGTTAAACACCTTTGCTAGCGCCCCCACCGATGTTGTATGCGGCTAGGCCTTAAGAATGCTGCACTGGACTAGATCTGCAAGGGTTTGGCAGGAGCTGTCCAGCTGGAAGGAAGGTGGGGCTTGCAGCAGCTGCTCTGGTGATGAAGGTTGCGCCTGCAAGCATCCGCTGGGTGGAGGGTGTACATCTGGCAGCTTCTGGACGTGCTTCAGCAGTGCCCTGCCCCGTACCTGGAGGTGCCTGCTGCTCCTTCGGTACCTGCGTCCCTCGCCGCTTCACCCCCATCTCCCTCTCCCTGTCTCCCCCTGCCTCTCGTAGTGGAATAAAGGCAGTGACCCACTTTGCAACTCTCGAAAGCACCGTGTTGGCAGCGGGGAGTCGCCTCTGCTGGTGCCGGCGTTAATGAATTACTCTGCTCCCAACAGCTATATCAGCTTTTTTGTTCTCTGCAACCTAGACATGTTCTAGGGAGTGCCTCCCCCCCACCCCCCCAGTAAACCAGCCTGGAGAAGGGAGCATGATCAAATCAAACAGCATGGAAATTAAATTCCATTCTCACAGTTTAATTCAATTTTCTCTTAACTGCAGCAAGGAGCTTGGGAAGAAAAGCTGTGATTGTCAAAAAGGAAAAAATAAAAGATGGTCACGGAAGAGGTCTAGGATGGCTAGGAACTTGGGGGCAGTGGAATGAGGAGGCTGTGATAAGTTGGTGCCTGGAATTCTCTCCCTATTTCTCTGGTCTAAAATCAGTAACTAGAAGGAAATCCCTGTACTTCTTTTCAAGACCTGTGAGTTTACACCACTAGCCTCATTACTCCTTTGGCTGAATGCATCTCCAACATGTTGCCACCATCTGCTGGCCATTTAGAGGAGCAGCGGGCATGGCTTGGCAGTGAAGGAAACCTCAAGCTGGGATCTGCCAGAAGTGACCAACAGGAATGGGTTAGTCCTGTCGTTCCCCTTGATTGACAAGCCGCATTGCTGCCGGCATCTATAACGAGGTGCTGAACTCATGTAGCACTGAGGCGTTCCTATCACTTTCGCAAGGTTAAGAATGAAGCTTGGACTGTAGCAGGTCATTCCTATTGCTTATGTGTGTGGGGAAGGTATGTGTAGATCCAAGCCTCTGCAGCAGGGGTGCAGAACTTCAAGGCCATGGGCCTAACGTGGCTTTCTGGGGCTCCCCATATGGCCAGGCCACCCTTCGTCTGATCACAGATCATTCCCTGTTTCCCCAGTCCCTGCTCCTCCTCTCCAATTTTAAAAGGTTGAATGCCTTTTCTAAGGCTTAATGACTCACAGTAAGGGTTTTAAGATACAATAGGCTGGTCTTTTGACCTTCCTCCTTTGTCTCTGGACCTCAGACCATTTCCATCAGAGGTCCAGCATCCATGCATTAAAGGGACAAATGGATTATACCACGTGGAGT